CACATCAGGAGTAAGGGGGATTCTATCTAAATCTGTACTAACAAAATTCTTGCTAAAAAGAGGTTAGCATGACCAGGTACAGTGACACATACRTGTAATCCCAGAGATTTGAGTGCTTGAGTCAGAAGGATCACAAGTTTGAGGCCAGCCTGAGCAACTTACCGGGCCCTGTTTCAAAATAAAAAAATAAAAATAAAAATAAAAAGGGCTGGGGATTTAGTTCAGTGTAAAGCACCCTGGGTCCTATTCCTAGAATCACAAAAATAGCAAGCAGGCAAGGCCAGGATAATRAGCCTCCACCTGAGGATGGTGGAGGATGAAGAACCTGATCAGTTATGAAGGGTGCTAAGCTRTTGTGTTTGGGGGAGTTACTGCTAAACTGACTTGACTTAGTTCTTTGTTAAAATTGCGTTTTACAAGGAAGTTCACAGATAGGCATAGGAGAAGGTTCAAAAACCTGATCAAAGTTTGACCAAGCAAAGAATCTTTGCCAGATAACTAATAGATGGTCAGATGGACAGCCATYTACAGGGATGCTGAATCATTTGATTCATATCTAAGTTGCTTTGTGACACATACAAGCAGTCTGCCCTTATCCATGGGGCACACATTCCCAGATCCCAGCAGATACCTAAATCCACAGTAGTACCAACCTCTATAAATACTGGATTTCCCCACTTAACAATGGCTTAATTCATAAATTAGGCATAGTAAGCAATTAACACAACTAATACGAAAATAGAACTGTTATAACAATATACTGTTATTAAAGTTATATGAATGTACATCATTGAACCAGGACAATATCAATGGTCTGATGTCATGAATCAACTTCTTCAATTCTGCTGGAAGTAAAGCAGCAGCAGCTTCATCAATAGATGCAGCCCTTTCAATAATATATATAATTTTTTTTTTCAAATTTATTCCTGAATCTGTATAACCATCTCTTACTTGGAGTACGTGGCCTTGTGTCACTTGTTTGAAGTCTTCCTATAGATTCAGGGCCTTCGGGTGGAACATATTGTCATCCTTTATGTTCGTATCTTCCACCCACAAATTTAGGACCTTTTCCATCTTGACTAAGCACTTATTATGCTGTGGCTGTAATTTTTGCAGTTTGGGGTATAACAGAAAAACTAGCATGGGTTTCTTTTTCCTTCTTCACAATTTCATAATTAGAAAAAATGCATTCTTGTCATAAATGTTAGCAACCTGACCATTCAATATTTTTCTTTCCTTATTAAGTCTAGAACTTTTACCTTTTCACCGAAAGGAGGTACTTTATAGCTTTTCTTGGGCAATTCTGAATTGCCAGAGTCACCTGTCTTGTGCTTTGGGATGATTATTAAGTAAAATAAAGCTTATCTGAACACAAGCACTATGACAAAGTGGAAGTTGGTGTAATGACCAAGACCACTGCTAAGTGACTAGTGGGCAGACAGTGTATACAGTGGGGATTTGGTGAATGAAGGGATGATTCACAGYCCAGGCAAGATAGAGGGGGATGATGTAAGATTTCATCATGCGCCTCAGAATGGCATGCAATTTTAAAACTTATGGATTGTTTATTTCTRGAATGTTCCATTTAATATTTTCAAACTTTGGTTGACTTCCTACAACTGAAACCATGGAAAACARAACCACAAATAAAGGAGTTCTACATACCTACAGTCTCTTCCAGGGATACTATCTTTTTATAGTTATAAATCACCTAATGTTGTATGAAATGTATGTAGTTAATTTAAACAATACTACACATTTATTATTATTATATTATTATTATTATTAATTGTTTATTTATTTTGGGTACTGGGGATTGAACTCAGGGGCAATAGACCACTGAGCCACATCCCCATCCCTATTTTGTATTTTATTTAGAGACATGGTCTCACTGAGTTGCTTAGCGCCTCGCCATTGCTGAGGTTGACTTTGAACTTGTGCTATTCCTGCCTTAGCCTCCCGAGCCCTAGGATTACAGGTGTGTGCCACTGTGCCTGGCCTACAGTTATTATTTTTTTCCCAGTAAATCCAAGCTGGGTGTGGTGGTGCACACCTATAAACCCAGAGACTTAATTTCTAAGCTAGCCTGGGCAACTTATACAGACCCTGCCTCAAAACAACAACAACAAAAATGTGGGGGATGAGGGATGTAGCTAAGTGATAGAGCACCCTGGATTCAATTTCCAGTACTGAAAATAAAAAAAGGAATCTATGATCATTCATATTCCAATCTCATAGATATATGTATGAAGAAAATGAAAGACCCTTATTATATTCTTTAACCTTCCCCCTCTGACAATGCCAAGAACATGGGGCACAATAAGCTTTCAAGGTAGGATGCCTCGATGGAATGATTCTCCCCAGGGGCAGGCAGGTGTGGGTRTGACTATTGGAGGGTGCTCACATAYGTGCACAGAGARCGCCYATGTTGTCTRCTTCCTACAGCAMTGKGTRAACTTGAAATMCCAAACCAAAACCAATGATTTCAGACAATCAAGGCTTTTCCTTCTTCAAAGGACARGCTCATTTCTTGAAACACAACTTGTTGWTTTAAAATATATCAAACCAATATGTTTGTAAAAAGAATCCTTTTGAAAGTATTTCTAGAAGAAATACTTACTGGGATATGTATGTCAATAAAGATGTCATGACATCTTAGATTTGCTTTAAAATAAAGGTGTTGCATGCCTGTACCCAGCAATTTGGGAGGCTGAGGCAGGAGGATCACAAGTTAAAGGCCAGCCTTAGCAACTTATTGAGGCCCTAAGCAACTTGGCAAGASCTTGTCTCAAAATAAAAAAGAAAAAGGGCTAGGGATATGGCTYAGTGGTAGAGCACTCCCTGGGTTCAGTCCCCAGCATTGCAAAAAAAATAAATAAAATCAAATCAAAAGGGATGGGAATGTAGCTCGGTGGCAGAGTGCTTGCTTAGCATGTATGAGACCTTGGATTCAATCCCCAATACTGTAAAAACAAACAAATAAAATAAAGGCAGAGGATGGGTGTCAAAACCAGATGGCCATGATAACTGATGAATGGGGTTGAATCTGAGTGAGGGACCCATGGAAGGCTATTACGTCTCTCGACTTTTGCAAGTTTCACATTTTCCAGAATAAAAATTTAAAGTGTATAAACCAGGATAAGTTTCRTGTTTTGGATAAGGAGATCAAGTCACTGAAAAACAAGCAGGTGGTGGGCAGAGCTTGCTGCTGGCCTGGGAGGGGAGAGKGGACGGAGCTGTTCTCGGCCCAMCTGCCCCTGTTCCACATGGGCACTTGGCTTTTGAAGAGGGTATTTTCCCAGAACTTCTGTGTGTTGCTGTCTGGGCCAGTAGCTTTGGCTCAGGTCYCCTCATATCCTTTTGTGTGGGAAAAAGAGAAGAAGAGGAAGGATGGGACTGGTGGGGAGATTCGGTCTGACTCATTTCCCCACCCTCCGTCCTCCTTGACTGGAAGCCACGTTCCGTTCATTCCCACCCTCTGGACCTCAGTCCCCCATCTGTCAAGTGAGGGGACTAGGGGACGGCACTCCAAGATCCCTCTCTGCTCTCAGACTCCATCTCTGATGGCTGTTTCCTTTCGTAGCCCAGGGACGMAGGATGACCCCAAATGTCACAACCTCAGCAGGCACCAGAATGGATCTCYCCCTCCCCTCCCGGAGATGGCAAAGGTCAGTGGGTCACATGGATGTGGAAATCCTTTTCCTTCCTCACATGGGCAGATGCGGGCTGGGCTGGGGGTGCAGGAAGCCAGGGTCTGGGTGGTGAGTGGAGAGGCCCAAACCTAGGGGCTCCGGTGGGAGCAAGGAAGGGCTGTTGAGAGTGGAATGGTCTGTGGTGTTCAGGAGTGGGGGTCCCCAAGGTACATAAGCATCTGGGTAACCTGTCCGGGTGGCCTGGCGACAGATGAGGGATGATTTGTAATCATTCCTGATTGTAAGGGGTGGGACATTCCCAAACAATCAGATTTACCAGCTGAGCCTTCAATCCCAGTCCTGGGAGAGGAAGGCGGTGGTCTACTCTTCCCTGTCCTGATTTCTGTCCTTAGTGGTATTGGCTGTGACAGGTTCCCCCACATCTAACCTGAGTCTCTCCCATTGCCGTTCCTCTGAGCAAGCATTTGGCAGGGCCTTGGTGAGGAGAGAAGCCTGGCCAGTGGCCCAGGCACCTGGAGCTCTCAGCAGGGACTGGCCCAGGTGGCCTCACTGCTGGGCAGGGAGGAGGGACAGGGACTGCCCCCTCCCCTGTGTGCATACCTACAGCTCTCCACCCAAGCTGGAGCTGACCCAGAGGGCTGGGGGGAGGACTGTGGGATCCTGGGGTTGCAAACACTTGGAGAGACCTGTTTCTTTTTTTTTTTTTCTCTCCCTCTTAGAAGTCTCCAGAATCTCTGGGACCGCTGAATGTGCCTCCTCCATCCTGCTCAGAGCACATGAGGATCAAAAACTGGGGCAATGGGATGACTTTGCAAGACACGCTCCACCTCAAAGCCAAATCGGTGAGAAGGCGGGGCTCCAGGAAGAACCACCCTTGTCCAAGCCGGTGAAGCTGTGGGGACCCTTTGTGGATCAACAGATGTTCCCCCTAGGCAGACAATCATCTGCCGGGAACAGAAACTAACAGTTTTCTTACCAATGACAGTAGGAAGTTAATGATGACAGCTTTCTTTTAACCACCCCTAATGGAAAACGGATAACCAAGGATATCAGATAAATGATTAAAAAAACAAATTAATACTTTTCTTAGACCTAATTTAGCAGAAATTGGGAAGAATTTCTAACTCAATTGCCCAAAGCTAGACCGAACTAAGTGAGGCAGTAATTGAGCTCCCCGTCACTAGAAGAAGTCAAATACTATTTGATAATAGAGATCACAGAGCGGGTGGAGCATCCAGTGAGTGGTTGGACTAAATGTCTTCTAAAGCTCCTTCCTGTCTTAATTTTTTTTTCTAGTGCTGATGATCAAACCCGGGGCTTTACACATGCTAGACAAGTACCCTACCATAGAGCTACACCCCCAGTCCTTCTTTTTGTCTTTTAAGTTCCTTATTTTGACTTTAGAATACAGAGAGCAGCTGCTCAACAAGTAAAGAATGGAAAATGTCAAGACCTTGAAAGCAGAATGATTCCCCAACCCTCCACCCCCAGAAACCACCGAAGTTAATATTTGGGGATACTTCCTTCCAGAATGTTCTCTGTGCCATCCTGTGACTCTGGGATTTGCACTCTTTCATTTCAGTTCATTTTGGCTGACCCCAGAATTGTGTGTCCCCCCCCCCCAGGAGCCACGGGGGCCTCTTTAAATAAGAAAGCAGATGAAATGTTCCCACAGCCACCAAAATGGGGCTAGTTAGAGACTGAGGCCAGGATCCGGGGACAGTCCTGRCTCACACCCATTGGGACTCAGCCAGTAAAGAAGAGGAGGTCTGGGTGGGGAGAAAGCCCAAGCTCCTGGATCCTAAGGAAAAGGTGCCACAGGGTGGAGGAGGTGTGGGGAGGGGAAGCATCCAGAGAGCAGGGAGGTGGCCGGGCCAGCAGAGTAGGCTTGACACTCTATGCTAACGACCTGCTTCTGTCTTTCCAGGATTTCACTTGCAAGTCTAAATCTTGCCTGGGGTCAATCATGAACCCCAAAAGTTTAACCAGAGGACCCAGGGACAAGCCTATCTCTCTGGATGAGCTTCTACCTCAAGCTATTGAATTTGTCAACCAGTATTACGCCTCCTTCAAAGAGTAAGTCTTGTGTCCTATGATGTCACTGCTTCCTCCTTCTCCCCCGGGCTCTCCTATCTCCAGCAATGATCCTCTGACCCTAGATCCCTTTCCTTCCAAGATTCTTAGTGGTTCCAGGCTAAATTGTAATTTTCCAAGAGAAGAGTTCCTGGAGTAGGTATTTGTAACCGGGGATAAAGTTCAAGAATAGCAATAGGGCTAAAAAGTGGGGGTTGAGGTATAACCGAGTTTGAATTCTGAGTCCATCATTAACCACCGCTGAATCCCTGAGAAATCTATTTACCTTCCTGAAGCCTCGGCTTCCATGGGAATAATAGAACTTGGCTCATAAGATCATTATGAGGATTCAGAACAGTGTCCTAGCTCTCAGTAACCTTGACTGTGAATTTAAATGGACTCTTTTATTATGAAAGGTTTGAGATAGAAAGGACCTCAGAGACAGAGACTACCTAGTCAAGCCCTTCCTCCTACAGGTGTGAACTTGGAACCCAGTGACACACCTGAGGTCACTGAATCCCTGCACAAAACACGGCCATCTCACTTGGCCAGGGCAGGTGGGTGCTCTCTGCACTGAATCTGGTGGGGCTCCACATTCCTGGGGTTCTTTTCGTCTTCCTACCCAATGAGATTTCTGCAAGGAGTGSTAGGAGTCCTTGATTTCTATAGTCAGTCATTCAGATGACAAATGCACTATCACGTACCAGCCTGGTGTCAGGCACTGGAATGCAAAGATGTTTTAAATTGTCGAGTGCAGATTTTTATTGTTAACATGTACAATTGAAAACATTCAGAGAATCATATAGATAGCTATACGATTATACTATCATATAATGATATTATAGAGTCAGGATTCCGGTGGCAGACTTAAGTTCAAATCCTAGCTGTGAACCTCCTAAGTGGCCCGACCCTGGGCACGTTACTTCGTTTATTTGTGCCTCAATTTTCCTGCCTGAAAATAGTGAGAATAATAAGTACCTGCTGCCGGGTGCAGTGGCACATGCCTACAATCCCAGCAGCTCAGGAGGCTGAGGCAAGAGGATCATGAATTCAAAGCCAGCCTCAGCCAAAGTTGCACTAAGTGGGGCGGGGGATGTGGCTCAAGTAGTAGCGTGCTCACCTGGCAAGCGTAAGACACTGGGTTCTATTCTCAGCACCACATAAAAAATAAAATAAAGATATTGTGTAAAAAAAAAAAAAGTGAAACTCTGTCTCTAAATAAAATAGGAAACAGGGCTGGGATTTGTCTCAGTGGTCGAGTGCCCCTGAATGTCCGAGTTCAATCCTCGGTACCAAAAAAAAAGTATCTGCCTTGCAGGAGTTTATATAGACTAAATAAGTTAACATATATAAAGTACTAAGATCAGTACCTAGTCCATTATAAGAACAACCCAAGTATGAGCTGTTATTATATTCTTAGAACCCTATGTTGTCCAAATAAAATAGATGACTATGTGATTTAAGCTCCTTTAAAACTTAAACATAAAAATGCGTGAAGAGCCTGTAATCCCAGCCACTCAGGAGGCTGAGGCAGGAGGATCATGAGTTCAAAGCCAGCCTCAGCAACTTAGCGAAGCCCTGAGCAACTTACTGTTAAAAAAAAAAAAAAAAAATTAAAGGGCTAGGAATGTGGCTCAGTGATTAAGTACCCACGGGATAAATCCCCAGTATTTAAAAAAAAAAACAAAACATGAAGACATTGTAGGACAAAATGTGGGATGGTAGAGGCATTGGGTTTGCTGTTTTCTAGCTGGGAGGACAGTGTGGTTTTTAGGTGGCAGACTCATGTGACACTTGGCCACATGAAGTGAGCCACAGAAGGGTGCCTGGGACCCATGGTGGAAAGAGTGGTTCCTAGAAATACCATCTGCCCTTAACCACAACCCTAGAAGATCCAAGCTTAGGAGAGATGAGGAGTCTTTGCAAGAGGTCCCCATCTTCCAGGCCAGTGGTCGCCAAACCCTGGCTGCACTGTAGACTCGCCTGGGGAGCTTTCAGAACACAGATGCCTGGGTCCCCTGGACCAAAGGTGACAGGGTCTTGGGAGATGAGGAAGGGGTGGGTATCTATGTTCTCCAAAATCTCCCAATGATCCTGATGTGCAGCCCAGGTTGAGACCTGTCAGGGCGCTGTCTCGTTTGCATGCCGTGCACCTGGAACTTCCACTGAACTGTGTTCCGATTGCAGGGTTCACGGTCTTTGGTCTTTCAGCTCAGTTGTTAGGTAGGGAGCCTTTTGGGAGTACAGGGATTTTCCCTAATGGATTTCATTGGGCCACAGTTCTTTTTGATTTATTTGACACTAAGCACGTGCAGGCCCCTATGTAAGTCACATTTTTTTTTTTTTTTTTTGTAACACCATGACTCCATGAGATTGGCGCTATTACTATCCCCATTCTACAGACAAGGAAACCAAAGCCAATTGAGATGTAATTGCTTGAACGTACCCATTCTGAAATCCCGGGGCTGGGATGGGAGGCTCAGCAGCTTGTGTCTGGGGCCTCGGCAGCTGGTACCCTGAGCCTTGGCTATTAGCTGCATGCCCTTCCACCTAGCCCTTCTACCCTTCAGGTTTCTGATGCTCTTCTGGAACTGCGAGGGTGGCTGGTCTTTGAAAGGTAATTGGATGGTTGTTAGGAAGCCCAGAGGCCACGGTGCTGCGGTTGGGCTCTGCTGAAACTCACTGGCTTCTCACACAGGGAAGTTCCACTTGTCACACCCGGGAGGTCCTGGGGGGTGTGAATCATGAATGACAGCCCATCCCCCACAATCGCTAGCAGCCGAGCATGTTTGGTCATCTTCTATATGTGGAGGATGGTAGCACATTGGGGGATCATGACATGCTGAATGTTATATTCAAATATTTTTGCTGCTGAGGAAGGCTGCTCCCCTTTTTCAGAGTTAAAAGGCATCATTGCATTGTTTGTGCCTCAGAAACACGACTGTGTCAAAATGGTCAGACATAAAGCTCGAAGGGAACCAGGCACAGACTTTAAAAATGACCTTTCTTAAGTATTCACATGCCGACACCGCTATACACGTTGGAGGCTTTGGGGTTACAGCAGTCACTACTGTCTTTGTGGTAAAGCGCAGAGTGGAAGATGTTTCTAGAAGCTTTGTTTGGAGAGGGGGGAAGCACCACTCCACCCCACAGCCCCCAGGAGATCCTTATGACAGGGATGTCCTTGAGGATAAGTATCACCCTGTGTTTTGTCTCTGAGCTTCTTTCTCTAATCAAGGGTTGCTGAGACATGGCACAACTGAAAGGCCACTTTTGTTCTGAGTAGAACAGAATAATTAAAATAATTTTGTTTGTTGCCATTTTGAAAACCTTTGATGGTGCTGATTGGAAATCTCAAGGTTACGGTGAGGGTTACGGTGAGGTGTATGTGTGGTGGTGGGGGTTTAAGTCTTTCTGACGAGTCTTTTCCTTTGGGATATTTTTGAAGTGCATTTAGAAATTGCTGGGTGCACCTCTTCCCTGAGGCCCTGCAGGCTGAGTCCTAACCTCCAGGGTTGTATCTGGGCCTGGCTGGGCTTGTGAAGAATGTCTTAGAGCTTGCTGTTGCCCCTAGAGTCTGTGTCCTGATTTTCTCTTGACCACACTTATATTCCTGGGCCTGATATTTAACTGCTATAGCCTTGAGACCCTTGACTATGAAGTAAACATGAAATTCCTTCTAAGTCAAGTGCACGGGTGCTGGAGATTGAACCCAGGGGTGCTTTGCCACTGATCCACATCCCCAGACCTTTTTATTTTTTTATTTTGAGATAGGATCTTGCTAAGTTGTGAGGCTGGCCTCAAGCTTGTGATCCTCCTGCTGGGAATATAAGCATGTATTACTACATTCAACTCAAAAAGACTTTTAAAAATCACAGATGCAATGAGACCTTGTCTGTGAATTGCTTTGCACAGTGCCTGGCTCATAGTGAGTACTTGGTGCTCAGGAGCTGCTGCAGGAGGGTCTGGCCTACCGCCTCTTAGCCAGGACAAGGGGAACAGGTGCTCCCCTGAGTAAAACAGTCAGGACAGTGTTGTGGCTTAATGGGACTCTGCTCCTCCAACATTGGTAAATGTCTGAGAAGGATCAGACCCCTTGCTAAGATGAATCATTAAAGAAAAAGTACCTAGAATATATACACAAAGGAATATTACTCAGCCTTAAATAAGAATGAAATAATGGCATTAGCCAGTAAATGGATAGAACTGGAGAACATTATGCTAAGCAAAATAAGCCAATCCTGAAGAACCAAAAGCTGAATGTTTTCTCTGATATATGGATGCTAATTCACAATAAGGGGGGTAATTTGAACTAGACAGAGGGGAATGAAGGGAAGTGGGGGCCACAGGCATAGGAAGGGTAGTAGAATAAATCAGACATTATTACCCTAGGTGAATATATGATTACGTGACCTGTGTAACTCTGTATCATGTACAGTTAGATGAGTGAGAAGTTAGACTCCATTTTTGTATGATGTGTCAAAATGCATTCTAGTGTCATGTATAGCTAATTAGAAAAAATATAAAAATATATCAAAAAAAAAAAAAGAAAGAAAAGAAAAAGTACCTAGAAATAATAAGGGTTCTCATTGACGCAGGACAGACTTCATAATTTGCAGGATCTGGTGTAAAAATGAAAATGTAGACTCATTATTCCAAATGATTAAGCACTTCACGATGGCCATGGCTGAGCACTCAGTACAGGCCCCTGGAGCAGACCTCAGAGGGGACAGTCTCCCGTGAGGGACAGCTTGCCCTTTTGGTGTCCGATTGCGGTTCCTGCTTCTGTGGATTGAATTAATCCCCATGTAAGGTCATCTCATTGTTGGTCTTCCTGATATCTTCCTGTCCCCCAGGGCAAAAATAGAGCAACATCTGGCCAGGGTGGAAGCGGTGACAAAGGAGATCGAAACAACAGGAACCTACCAGCTGACTGGAGATGAGCTCATCTTTGCCACCAAGCTGGCCTGGCGCAACGCCCCCCGCTGCATCGGGAGGATCCAGTGGTCCAACCTGCAGGTGAGCCTCCTCCCCCTGGGCAGGAGAGGAGCTGGAGGTGGGCTGGCCCTGAGCCCTGAGCCCTGAGCAGATGGCTCTGGAGCAGCCCAGCGGAGCTGTGCCTAGGTCTCCAAGGACAAGCCAAAGCCCCATGTTCTCAGCCCGAGATAGGGTTCAAAGCCCCCTCACCCCGCCCCCATAGAAATCCAGAATCCTTTTTTTTTTTTTAATATATTTTTTTTAGTTGTCAAAGGATCTTTAATTAATTATTTATATGTGGTGCTGAGAATCAAACCCAGTGCCTCACACGTGCTAAGCGAGTGCTCTACCACTGAGCCACGCCCCCAGCCCCCAGAATCCCATTTTAACTTCAGGATCTCTAGCTGACCTTCTCTGTTGCATTAAGCTCAGGAGATCCAAATGCCATTGTAAAACCACACCATGACCTTGTTTTTGTTATTGCCAAGGCCTTGGTGCTGCAAGAGAGGTTGTTTACCTCAAATGTTTGAATTCTTGGCTCCCAGAGACCACTTTATTTATCCTAGGCTCCTGGGCCACATTTCGCTGGAGGATCATTTTGTGGTTTGGATCCTCTGGAAGGAGAAATCGATGAGAAAAACCAGGAAAACCAACCCCAACCGTTTTCAAATAGGCTCGAGATGCAAGGGGAGCAGGCTGGGGTTGGGTGTTCCTGACTTGTAGAGCTATAAATTTGGGTTTTCTGGGAATGTGCATTTTGCTGGAGTCTCCTGAGTGGGGTTGCCCCAGGGGAACAGAAGAAAGGGGCAGCCGTTCACGCAGAGGAGCATAGGCCCCTCTGTCTTGTGGGAATGGGGGCATGCAGGCTGCCTGCTGTCCCCCAGGGCTTCAGTCGGCCCAGAAGCCTCTGTCTGCATAGTCATCGGATTTTTGTTTGTTTGTTGTTTGGTGTTGGAGATTGAGCCCAGGACATACGCTGTCACATGTTGTGTCACTGAGCTACATCCCCAGCCCCATGCATTTCTTGACATGCCTCAAGTCAAGGCATGAGTATCCTTGACTCTGGTGGGCTGTGTGCAGGTCTTTGACGCYCGGAGCTGTTCCACCGCCCAGGAGATGTTTGAACACCTCTGCAGACACATCCGTTATGCCACCAACAACGGCAACATCAGGTGGGGGTGCCTGTCCAGGGTGGCCGTGGGGCCTACTCTGCCCCCCCAGTTTAGCCAAAACATGCAGATGGGTCTAGGAGGAGGCCTCACCAGCTCCAGGAGAAACCAGGGACAGAGAAAAGGAGGAAGATCTGGTCCTGTCTTCAGGGACCTCTAATGGCAAGCCCAGCCTCCACGGCTTAGCCTCYACCAGGAGCCCATTTTCCTGGGTTTCCTTTGGGCTTGGAACCCTGTGGAAGTTCCAGCTTTAAGAAGTAACTTCACGGTTCAGTGTTACAGCTCTCCACTTCCTAGAGGGGCTGAGACTTTGGTTTGCTAGCATATGACTCTGGTGTGGTTTCTTAGAGGTAGGTGAGTCATTGCTTGTCACTCTGTCCCCCTACCCCCACCCGATAGGACTAACATCTCGTTCTGTCATTCACTCATTTTGGGGTCCAGCAAAATACTCAGGGGCCACCTAATGGGGACTCATCACTAGATCCCACATATTAAGACCATGTAGYAGGACTAGACCAGCATGGGGGGTTGGGGAAGAAGAGGCAGGGGACCCGGATGCAGAGGTGTCTGAGACCCTCACTGTGAACCACGACCCGCACTAGACAGGCATCCGGCTGACTCAACTTCAGGGGAAGAAATACCGGGCAGGGAGAGAGAGGGCTGTGGAGGGGCAGCTACTCTTGCCTAAAGGATGTGGAGGTCCCTAGTGGTCCCTGTGCTGGTCTAGAAGGAAGGGGCTGGTGGGAGGTGGGAGGCAGTCAGCTCAGCTGCAAAGACTGCAGAGCAGGAAGAGTGGGGGGTGGGGTGGGCCAGGGGGGATGGCTGGGAGTCCCCACCAGGGCCAGATGGTAAACAGTGCCACTCCTGTCCTGGGGAAGGTCGACCATCACTGTGTTCCCCCAGCGGAGCGATGGGAAGCACGACTTCCGAGTCTGGAATTCTCAGTTAATCCGGTATGCCGGCTACCAGATGCCTGATGGCACCATCAGAGGGGACCCTGCCAACTTGGAGTTCACCCAGGTACCTGCCGAGTCTCTACCCCCGGGATCTTCAGTGCTGGGTGTCGAGTGGGGCTTGGGGGAGTCAAGGCGCAGGCCCACAGGCTCACTGGACCTGTCTTGCCCCCCAGCTGTGCATCGACTTGGGCTGGAAGCCTCGTTATGGCCGCTTCGATGTGCTGCCTCTGGTCCTGCAGGCTGATGGCCGTGACCCTGAGTTCTTTGAAATCCCACCTGAACTTGTGCTTGAGGTGCCCATGGAACATCCCAAGTAAGTGGCTGAGGGTGCAGGACCAGCGAATCCATAGGCACGTCCCTCTCCTTCCTCACGGACTCCGACCATCAGACCCCTCCCGTGCCTCCCCTAGAGCCCAGCAGCAGCAGGTGACACCCAGGCGTCATCCTGTGCCTTCTGCAACAATTCTGCATTATATTATCTGGCCTCAGACTTAGGAAGATGTGTTGATGGACAAGAGAATCCGAGGCTTAGATGAATGGGCCCCGAGGAGACTGGAGAGCCTCAACCTCAGGACAAAAACCCTTGGAGATACTCAGTCTGGGCAGCCCAGGTCTCCTTTTCCCTCCTCCCAGCTTGTCTGTCTGCTGACTGTGGGGCAAGGATAGGGCTATGAGGACTCTGAGAGCTCAGTGGGATCAGAACCTACTCTTGGCCCTTCTAAAAATAGCAAAAGTAACCCCACATATTAAGACTATGTAGCCGGCATTAGGCTTTTAGGTGGATACAATATCTTTATTTTGTTTTTATGTGGTGCTGAGGATCGAACCCAGCGCCTCAGGCATGCCAGGCCAGCGAGCTACTAATTGAGCCATATCCCCAGCCCCTGAGCTCTTCTTCTTGTTCCTTGAATACGCTGGACTTCATCCTGCCTCAGGGCCTTGCGCTTCTTGTTCCTCCAATCTGACCTGCCCTTTCCTCAGAATTTTGCAAGACCTTTTTTTTTTTTTTTCCTTCTTATTGAAAGGTATTGTCCATGGTGTCACTCCCCGCCCCSGCCCAGAAGACTCTCCTGACCACCTAATCTAGAGTAGGCACCATCACCCTCAGACGAACACATCATCTTGTTTTTATTTTCTTATGTATTTGTTTACCTCTGTGTAGTTTTGAAGTCTAGACATCACTGTAAGCGAATGGAGATTGGGGATCTCACTTTTCTTATTCACCAGAACATCCCCAGAAACCGGAAGGGAGCTGACACACAGTAGTTGCTCAGTTATAAGTATTTATAGAATAATTGGATATATAAATGGATGGTCTTGTCTTCATAACAGTCCCATGAGTTTGATGCTGTGTTGATGAATGAGAATACTGAGGCTCAGAGAGGCTAAAGGCTTCCTCGGCTTCCTTGCTTGTCAGTAGGGAGGCCAAATTTGAGGTTCTGTTTTCTCTCTCTGGAGCTCCTAACTGCTATGTTTTACTGGATTGTTAGCATTTAGCACAAGGCCTGGGGGGAAGGAATCAGTGAATGAGTGCAGTAATTTAGTGAATGACATCTGGTGTTCCCAGTTCACTTTCCTGGTGGAGTGACTCAGAGACCTGGAAAGGAGTTTTCCTGGTTGACTCTGAAGCTTGAAGCTTTTGCTTTTTTTTTTTTTTTTTTNGTTCACTTTCCTGGTGGAGTGACTCAGAGACCTGGAAAGGAGTTTTCCTGGTTGACTCTGAAGCTTGAAGCTTTTGTTTTTTTTTTTTTTTTTTTTTTTTTGCGGGGGTGGGGGGAGCCGGGGACAAAAAAAAAGAAGTCCCCAACTGCAACTGACTCTGCCTCCGGCCAGGTTCGAGTGGTTCCGCGAGCTGGACCTGAAGTGGTATGCCCTGCCGGCTGTGTCCAACATGCTGCTGGAGGTGGGTGGCCTTGAGTTCCCCGCGTGCCCCTTCAATGGCTGGTACATGGGCACTGAGATCGGAGTCCGGGACTTCTGTGATGTCCAGCGCTACAACATCCTGGAGGTAACGAGGGCCACCTAACTGGAGGTGTGAGTGGGCCTGTAGGTGGGTCCCCAGGAGGCCTCACCCCTGCTGCTCTGCCCTGTAGGAAGTGGGGAGAAGGATGGGCCTGGAGACGCACATGCTGGCCTCCCTCTGGAAAGACCGGGCCGTCACGGAGATCAACGTTGCTGTGCTCCATAGCTTCCAGGTACGTCAGGTGACGTGGGTCTACCGATGCTTTGGTGACAAGATGACCTGGCTCGGTGCTGGATGTTCCCCCTGGAAGCATTGTTCATTTGTGCCTGCATCAAACAAATATTGAACATCAACAAGTGCCAGGCACCGGCTAGGCCCTGGCACATAGCAGGCCGCTCGCTGTGCCCTCTTGCTCGCTCTCTCGGTCTAGCACCAGGCAACTCCTTGCCTGCGAAGACGGGTCAGTCCCTGCGCATGCGCACTGATCCCTGTGCGCTTTCAATTGCTCAAGGCCTTTACTCCCCCAAATCCCCCTCCCCTCTGTTTGCATCATCAGTGTCTCCTTCTCTGTTGGAACATTCCAATCGGTGTGCAGGCAGGCTATCCTAGGTCCCATCTGCAGGTAACAAATGGAGGTAACCTCAGGTTCCCTCCAGCTACATTTTTTTTGCTTATCTTTACAGCAAAACTATTCAATGAACTCATTTTACTTCCTCCTCCTGCAGTCATTCCAGTAGTCCTTCYGGTCTGGCTTTTATCTCCCACTCCTCCTCAGTGATGCTGAAATTCTTGCCAGGTTTTTAAACTCACCAAGAGAATTTCCCCCTCAGGGCCTCTGCCTTTAACTTTCACTCTGTGTAAAACTTTCTTCCCACCAATCATGCCTTGGCCAGCTCCTTCCCTTCTAGAAGTTCTCAGCTGACACCTCCTTCAAGAAGCCCTCCCCAAGTCTTCCACGTGAATCAACGTCCTCACCCACCTCTGTCTTGCCTCTCTCTGTTACTCCTTTAATTCTGCCTCATTTTTCTTCATAGTCTGTGGCACTGTGTTGGACAACTACTTCTGTCTTTCTTCATTGTTTTGTTTCTTTTCACTAGAATCTAATCTCCCTGGGGAGCCACAGGACAGGACTTTGTCCCTTGTGCTCACTGCTGTACCTCTAGTCAGAATGTTGGACACAAGGCAAATACTAAAATGAATGAATGTGAGTCCCATGCACAAGAGCAGGGGTTTCAGCGTCCATCTCTGCCCACACACAGCAGGCTGCTTCCCACGCAGGGCCAGACCAGTCCATCTGCTGCCCCTGTTCACATTGTTCCTAGGCTTCAGGCCCAGGATGTGTGAAGCTGGAGCCATCTCTACCAAGCTGATAGATGCCCTAGAGTCTAAGCCACTGGCAAAATTTTATGGAGCATTTTCCATGTGCCAGTGCTAGGCTGGGCCACGAACATAAGTAGTAAACAAAATATATATGCATCACACACGGTTCCCCAGGGCTGGGTCACTCCACAGGCAGATCCAAACTGTGCGTGATGGAGTCAGGGGTTCTGAGCTGAGAGGAACAGGAAGAGAGCCCCTGGAGCTGGCCTCCATCAGGAAGGGCTGGCCTTGGACCACACATCCTGGCTCCAGGGGACTCCCAGCATCAGCCCTGCTGCTGGCAGGATGTGGCTATGTCCCAGAAAATCTGCAGAGCCTCTGCCGTCTCCTGACCATGGCTGACCACGCCCCTCCAGGGCTTGAGAGTCTCCAGAACTTCCTTGTCACCRTCCTTCAGGATGACCTTCCAAAGATGTGGCCTAATTTCCTTCCCTGAAAGATGGGGATCATAGCAGGACCTCCCTCCCTAGATTATTTTAAGAATTAAATGACAGCTCTTGCAACACGTTTAGCTGCACTGCCTGGCCCACAGAGGACCCTCAGCACGTTCGTTTTACTGTTGTTATTTATTATTGTAATCATAGCGATGATCATTGGCTCCTGTGACGACCACTGGCCTGGCACTGAGGAGTCCCCATGTATGTATACAGACAGTCCCCAACTTAGGATGGTTTGACTTAGGAATTGTTTAACTTTGCAGAGGGGTGAAAGTGATGTGGATTCAGAAACTGAACTTGGAATTCTGAAGTTTGATCTTTCCTGGGCTGGTGATGGGGAACAGGATACTCCTGTGGTACTGGGCAGCAGCAGCAACCCTCTGCTCCCAGTCAGTCACGTCAGCATCGGGCTCACCACCTGACCCTCTGTAATGTGCTGTGTGGCGGTGCCACAATGTTCAGGAGGTTGGGAGTATTGAATGCATATTTGACTTTCAAACTCTGCTGGGTTTATCAAGATTTAAGCCCATAGTAAGGGGGAAGGCACCTATATATGAAATTTTAAAAGATGTGGCTGGACGCACAGGGCCTGCATCAGCTGGCTGTTCCCGTCCTTCCCATCCTTGACTCATAGCATCTTCTCAGGAATGCCCCACTCCTCTGCATCCTGGGATACATTGTACCCATCTCTTAAGACTTGGCCTCTTCCAGAAGCTGTGCCCAAAGCCCCTCTCGACTCCCCTGAGCCTCTGTTCTCCCCGAGCAGCCTTGGTTCCCCTCCATCATAGCTCCCAGACTTCCTTCTGCTTCCCCTAGTTAGACCACAGCCTACCACAGAGAAAGGGACTGTCATTCCTCCTGTTATGCCAGGGCCTTACATGGTACTGGCAGATGGAAATAATAATAATAGCTAATATCTACCGAGAACTTTGATGCTTTATTTCTACTAGCTTATTGCACCCTTTCAACAACCTCATTATGTAGAACTGTCAACCCCAGCTTAATGAAGAGACTGAAGCTTAGCAAGGTTAAGGAACTAGTAGGTCAAGGTTACCGGGCCTGTGAAAGGTCAGAGTCTGGACCACAATGCTAAACATGTGTCTCTTGACTGGATGGTTTGCCCTAGACATAGGGGTGGTGCTGCTCTTAATGGGTCAGACCAGGTGTCTCAGATCCTGTGGCCTCTAATTTTAGGACATGGGTGGTTCGTCTTCCCTGTAATCCTTCTCCCGTGCTTCAGGCCTCTCCACTTGAGATGTCTTGTTCCTTTTGGGCTGAGAGGGTATAGATGGAAGGGGTGGTATTTCTTTATCTGCAAATAAGGGCTTCTGTTTGAGTCCTCTASGAGACATTTGCCGGGAGGGTGGGGAGACCTGTGGGCATGAGAAGCTGGATGCTTCCTCCCCAGGATCATGGGGGCCACCATGTCATCTGGGCCAACAGTGCTTAGATGATGTTGAGGCCCCTTCAGAGGCTTGGGAAGAGCTCCCATGTGGTCATTTATTTCCAGTAGGTGAGCAGAAAGGCCAGGAGGTGTGGCTCTCCCATTTTATAGATGGCAAGGCTTTCCCGTGCTCCCTGGGAATTATCCCTGTTGCCACCTGGTGGCTCTCCACTCTCCTCACCCCTTATCTCAACTTCCCTCCTGTTTCTGATTTAGAAGCGGAACGTGACCATCATGGACCATCACTCGGCYGCGGAGTCCTTCATGAAGCACATGCAGAATGAGTACCGGGCCCGCGGGGGCTGCCCTGCAGACTGGATTTGGCTGGTCCCTCCAATTTCTGGGAGCATCACCCCTGTGTTTCACCAGGAAATGTTGAACTATGTCCTGTCCCCATTCTACTACTATCAGGTGAGGGAGGGGCCTCCTGTCCTCTTCCTCTTGGAATKCGGGTGTGGAGACTGTGTGTGTGCCATGGGTGAGGAGCAGGGACTTATTATTTTTTTTAAAAGACTTGATATTTAATTTTTTCTTTCTTTGTTTTTTTTGTTTTGTTTTGTTTTGTTTTTGTTTTTGTTTTTTGTGGTGCTGTGGATTGAACCCAGGGCCTCAGGCATGCTAGGCAAACACTCTACCACTGAGCCACATCCTCAGCCCCAGGGACATGTTTTTAATGCTTCTCAAGCCCCAATCTAGGACTCAGAGGATCTCCTGTCCATGTCTACAGAGATAAAGGAAATTCCTTTCATTGTGCTTTCTGTGTTCTGTCGCCATGTCTGGCTTAAGCCTCTCTGGTGTCTATTTGATATACCTACTTCTTTGGGGAGTCTGGAAAACTGTCACCTAGCATCATGGGGGAGGTCAGACTGAGACTGCTGGTTCTGCCATTTTCTACCTATGTGCCTGCCTTTCTGAGCCCTGATTTTCCCATGAGAGGAGGATGTGCTTGAGGGTCATATGCACTGGCCCAGTGCCCAGGCCAGAATGCAGTCAGTGACTGCTAGCTATGGACATGAGTACACGTTTTATCAAAAAGGATTCAAGTGCTGGGGATATAGCTCAGTTGGTAGAGTGCCTGCTTTGCATGCACAAGGCCCTGGGTTCAATCCCCAGCACCACACACAAAAATTCAATTTTGGGAGAAACTGCCTCACTTTCAAAGTCAGGCAGCTGTGTACCCTGGTCTGCCCAGGACTACTGAGGCCCATCAAGCTCCTCCTCGTCCTCTCGAAAGCATCCTGGTTCAGACTATAAGTTATGAACGGAGCAGGACCCTGGCCTACACTCACATCTCCCTTCTCTTGCAGGTGGAGCCCTGGAAGACCCACGTCTGGCAGGATGAGAAGAAGAGACCCAGGAGAAGAGAGATCCGGTTCAAAGTCTTGGGGAAGTGAGTGGGAACGGCCATCATCACCAGCCTCTGCATTGTCCCTTCCTTCTAGTCAGCTTTTGCCCCAGGCCTTGAAGAGCAGGACACACATAGACAGAGTCTGCTTTGTGCAGTTTGACTCTCAGAGATCTGGGCAGTATTTCTGAGGGTCACTGGATGCTTGTGTCCCACCTTTTCTCTCCTCCCTTCCCCAAAGGGGCCGAGTAGAGGGTGAGGGGAGATAAGGGCCACTAGTCAGGGTGGACGGTTGGTGAAATGAAGGTTGCTTCTCCCTCTACCTGTCCACTTGGAACACTGTCCCCTTCCCATCCTAACCCTCACCTCCTTCTAGAAGAGGACTCAGTACACAGCATCTGTCTGTCTGTCCCCACAGAGCTRTGCTCTTTGCCTCTGTGCTGATTCGCAAGACCATGTCATCCCGAGTCAGAGTCACGATCCTCTTTGCAACTGAGACAGGAAAATCAGAAGCGCTGGCCCAGGACTTGGGGACCTTGTTCAGCTGTGCCTTCAACCCCAAGGTACCAGATCAGTTGGACAGGTGTTTGGGGAAAGGGTGGAGGGCCCAGCCTGGGAGCTGAAGGCTAATGTCCTCCTGGGTACCTCACAGGTCCTCTGCATGGACGAGTACAGCCTGAGYGACTTGGAGCAGGAGCAGCTACTGCTGGTAGTGACCAGCACATTTGGGAATGGAGATGCCCCTGGCAATGGACAGGTGGGTGGCCCAAGGTCCTGATCACCGAGGGGTGAGTAGAGCCCAAGAGAACCAAAGAAAGGTCCAAAGGGATCGACATACCACAAAGAGGGTGGTTGGGCTGGGCATGGTGGTGCATGCCTACAATCCCAGCGCCTTGGGAGGCTGAGGCAGGAGGATCGTGAGTTTAAAGCCAGCCTCAGCAAAAGCGAGGTGCTAAACAACTCAGTGAGACTCCGTCTCTAACTAAAATTCAAAGTAGGGCTGGGGATGTGGCTCAGTGGGCTAGTGCCCCTGAGTTCAATCCCTGGAAACCACCCCAAAAAAGAGGGTGGTTGGGAGTGAAACCCCAAGTCACCCAGGGTCCTTCATGGGCCACCTTTCCTCTGACACACTTAATAAATCTCTGTGAATTGACCTACACATTTTCTAACTGAAAAACTCATGTTTAAAGGAAACTTGTATCACTCTCACAAAGRGAAATCCAGCAAAAAGTAAATTCAGTGAAATCCAAAGTTATTGATTTTTAGTTAATGCTATTGACCAACCCAGTCTGCTGTCTCTATTTTTTTTTTTTTTTAAGAGCAATAGGCAAGTATTCAAGAGGTTACAGCTCTATGGCCCCAACTAGAGACTCCTGGTGCACAGAAGGATGAAAAATAAATTGAGAAGAGAATAACTAAAAAATGAAATACACAAAAGGGAATAATTTCCATGATTTGACACTGTTTATGCTGGATCACACAGCACCTAAAATTGTTTGGGGTTCCTAACAATTTTATTTATTTATTTATATGTGGTGCTGAGGGTCTAACCCAGTGCCTCATGTGTGCTAGGTGAGTGCTCTACCGCTGAGACACAACACCATCCCTTTTATGTTTTATTTTGAGACACGGTCTCCATAAGTTGCTTAGGGCCTTGCTGAGTTGCTGAGGCTGGTTTTGAACTTGTGCTCCTCTAGCCTCAGCCTCTGGAGTTGCTGGGATTACAGGTGTGCCCAGCCCAGCTAGATATGGCCAGTTTTTAAATGGGCCACCAGGAGAAAAAGAAAAAGTTATGCTTGTGTGAATCCTGGCCTGCGAACTCTGTGGTTGTCTCCCTTTCTAGACTCTGAAGAAATCCCTCTTCATGCTGAAGGAGCTCACCAACACCTTCAGGTCAGGCTCTTCCCCACTCCTTTTTTTGGCTGAGCCCAACCTCTGGGCCCAGAGTCTGGGATCTGGGGATGAAACTGGATGTGCATAAGTGGGTCTTCCTGGAATTGTCCAGCACAGGRACAGCCCTAATCTGAAGTTTATCCTTTGAGTGTGTTGCGGATCCAGCCGGGGAAACCACTTCCTCTCCCGGGTCTACTAGCTAAGCGTGCATTGGTCATGGCAGTTGGTGGTGAGGGCCAGAGGCCAAAGAGGACCAGAGCAGGCATGGCCCAGCTGGCATGGGAGAGTGCGAGGCTGGGTCTGCAGGCCATTGGCGAGGGGTGCTGCTTGCATGTGACCTGAGTCTCTKTGTGTGTCCTCCTGGGGCAGGTATGCTGTGTTCGGTCTTGGCTCCAGCATGTACCCACAGTTCTGTGCGTTTGCTCATGACATCGACCAAAAGTTGTCCCACCTGGGAGCCTCTCAGCTCACCCCAATGGGGGAAGGTGACGAGCTCAGCGGGCAGGAGGATGCATTCCGTAGCTGGGCCGTGCACACCTTCAAGGTCAGTACCCAGCCAGAACTGCCCCATGATGGGGTGTCTTCCCACCCAGGACATGTGTACCAGCCATCCTGGGTGGTGCGACTTCTGCCCCACCCTGTGGGTAGGTCCCAGGTGTGGGCCAGGGGACTCAGGTCAAGGCTGTGATCCTCACTCCTCCCAGAAGAGTTCTTATTTTTTAAACCATTTTTTAGTTGTAGATGGACACAATACCTTTATTTTTTTTATTTATTTGTTTGTTTGTTTGTTTATTTATTTATTTAAAATATGGTATTGAGGATTGAACCACGTACCTCACACGTGCTAGGCATGCACTTTACCACTGAGCCACAACCCTGGCCTTCTAGGTCACCTCTTAACAACCACATCTTGTTTGGGACTCCTAGACACAGAGAGCTGGGGACAGAGGGCACATGGTTGAGCTCTTCGGATCTGGCTCAGTATCTCCATAGACCTTTATTATGGGGATTGCTTGTGGGTGTAGGGGGCTTATCACTGAAGGTGCTCAGGAGCCATGGCTTGAGCTGAGGGCACTTGGTTTCAAAGCCCAGGCCTCCTCCATGTGATTCACATAAGGAAAGAAAAGTATTCAAACCTCCGTCACCATGTTGGCAAGACRATGTCAGTATTAATATTTCTAATATTAGTGGTAACTACTGTGTGCAAAGCCCGGGCACCTCTCTGAGTCCCTATAGTGACCCTATAGATTCATGTGCTTAGAAATTCTTTGAAGCACTCAGCTTGATGCTGRGTCCATGGTGAGGGCCTACAATCTGATAGCCCCACCGGTGATGAGGAGGATGATGATTGACACCAGTCTGCACTGCCTTCCAGGCTGCCTGCGACACGTTTGACATTCGAGGCAAACACCACATTCAGATCCCCAAGCTCTACACGGGCAGCATGACCTGGGAGCCTCGCCACCACAGGCTTGTGCAGGACTCACAGCCCTTGGACCTCAACAAAGGTACCTGCCTCTCTACACCACACGAGGCCTGTTTAGCCTCCTGCCTGGGTTGGGTGTCTGGGCCTTGAGCCCACAACCAGGTCCCTCTGAATGGAGACAGCAGCTGGGGCTGCCAGGCATCTGCCTCAATGAATCCAAGAGCCTGGTACTCAACCAGACCCCAGGCTCCAAAGAGAGCTGTTGAAGAAGACCCTCTGGGAGRGAGGATGGGCTGTGTCAGGGGTGGGCTGACTGTGCTGGGGTTTTGTTGCTGATACCATGGACGGTGATGTAAGAGACCCTGACACTCAACCTGTGAGAAAGGGACAGAATAATTGAAGTTCAAGGAGGTGAAGCAAGTGGTAGCGTGGCCAGGTTAGGCGCTGAGCCCAGCTTTACCAACGGTGAYAGCATGAGATGACTCAGGCTATGTTCAGACTCTGCTCCCTCTAAGTGCTGTGCCTGCTCCCTGAGAACAGAGATCCTGCAGGCTTCTGAACATCCCCAGAACATCCCCAGCCTCAGCTCTGCCCTCCTGTGGATCCCAAGCCAGGGAGTTGCCCTGGGACATCATGCATTTTGGGTTCTAAATTAAATTTCCCAATAGTTAGCAGCAGCACATCCACCATCTGTCAGATGAGGGATCTTTATATTCAGAAACGGAGGGAAAACAGAAGGAAAAAAAAATCCCAGTAGCTACCACTGTCTATTAGTCAGCTTTTTGTCAGTTACAGTTTGGATCTGGAAGGTTACCCCCACCCATTCATTTGTTAGGCAGTGTTCAATGGTGAAAAAACTAGATTGTGGGGGCTGTAATCCTATCTGTGGATTAATCCACTTGATGGATTAATAATTTGAATGAACTACTGGGTGGTAACTATAGGCAGGTGAGGTGTGATTGGAGGAAGTAGGTCCCCAGAGGTGTGGCCTTGGGGACTATATATGTCCCTGACCCCTTCCTTCCTCTTTCCCTCTGTTTCTTGGCGGCCCTGAACTTAATAGCTTTCCTCCATTCCATCATCCCGCCATGATGTTCTGCTTCCTCTCAGGCCCAGAGCAGTGGAGTCGGCTGGCCATGGACTGAGACCTGAAACCAGGAGCCCAACCTCTGAGTGGTTCTTTTCAAATATTTTGGTCACAGCAACCAAAAGCTGACAAACACTTACCTGACAAAAACAACTTAGAGGAGGAAGGATTTATTTTGGCTYGTGGTTTCAGAGGTGTCAGTCCACAGTCGGCTGACTCCATGGCGAAGGAAAGCTGCTCAGCTCATGGCAGCCAGAAAGCAGAGAGAAAGAGGAAGGGGTCAGGGACAAGATGTAGTCCCCAAGGGYATSCCCCTAGTGATCTATTTCCTTCAACCAGTCCCCACCTCCTACAATTCCCAGCAATGACTTCAAATTATTTATCCACTGGCCAGAGYCCTCAAGATCCAATCCCTTCCCCAAAGCCCCACCTCTGAGTATCGCTGCATTGGGGATATATCTTCAATACAGGGACTGTTCATGTCCAACCCATAACAGGCAATGGGCAAGACTCAGACATGTGACTTCCCTGACCATTGCTCAAGAGCCCACTTTTCCTATCTGTGTCTCCACAGCCCTCAGCCAAATGCACGCCAAGAAGGTGTTCACAATGAGGCTCAAATCTCAGCGGAATCTACAAAGTCCCAAATCCAGGTGAGGTATTGTGCAGGGCTCTTGGATGATGTTCCAAGAAAATTCTGTTTTGATAAATGGAAGACCGGAGCAAGTCAGTCCTTGAAGGGAAAGGAGAGAAGCATCTGCTGTCACTAGAAGTGATGCCACCATAGCTGGGCATGGTGGTGCATGCCTGTAATCTCAGCAGCTCTGAAGTCTGAGGCAGGAGGATTGCAAGTTCAAAGCCAGCCTCAGCAACTTAGCAAGACCCTGTCTCAAAATAAAACATAAAAGGGTCAGGATGTGGCTCAGTGGTTAAGTACCCTTAGGTTCAATCCCCAGTACCCACACACACACACCAAAAAAAAAAAAAAATACCACCAATAGGATCAACTGGTCTACCAACCTGTGGCCACCTGTGTGTCTTTGCAGCCAGTTTCAATTGACCAGCCAGTTGTCCAGCTTGGGAACAAAGCCCCTGCTTTGCTTTCTCTCCTTCCTCACTAGACTCTTTCATTGAAAGGAGAGGCCCAGGGACACAAGTCATTGGGGTCTTAAGAGCTGCCATGAAGTTTKGGCAGGGAGGAAATGTCCTAGCCAGGAAGCTGAGCACTGGGGATTATTTGTGGGTTTTGTTTCTCTGTACTGTCCTCTCCCAAGTTCATTGGGGAAACTGGACTTTTTTCTAATAAGGACAGGATTTTGCGCTGGGGACAGGGAAGCATTTCTTCCAGTACCCAGAGATCTCCACGCAAGAGGCTCTCTTTCAGCAAAGCCTCCAGCTAGACCTCCGGGGCTTGGCGGGCTGCCCAAGCAGGGCAGGGTRGCCTTCTCCCAAGGGAAAACTGTGGGATGCTGAGTCTTCCCGCCCAAAGCTATGCCTGGTCCCCAGCTCAGGCTCAAGGAACCAGGCACGAAAATGACAGGAGGGCACATTTCCTGGGGAAACTGGCCCGCCTTCCAGGTGGCCAGGAGGAAATCCTGGCAGTCACCAGGTCCTTCCTTCCGCAGCCGCACCACCCTCCTGGTGGAGCTCTCCTGCGAGGACAGCACAGACCTGAGCTACCTGCCCGGAGAGCACCTCGGGGTTTTCCCAAGSAACCAGCTGGCCCTGGTCCAAGGCATCTTGGAGCGAGTAGTGGACAGCCCCGCWGCCCAGCAGACTGTGTGCCTGGAGGCCCTGGATGACAGCGGTGAGCCCTTGGCTGAGAGCCCCTTTCCAGCCAGCCTGGGGCTGGGCTTCTACCTACCCCAGGCCAGCTACCCCAGCCCCGGCCTGTAGGAATAGCTCCCTGGCCTTAGTGTCCTCGGGGTTACTGATACCACCAAAGGACATACCCTCTAAGCACAGAGGCCAAGATAGGAAAGTGGGGGGTCAGAGAAGCAAAGCCAGCCCCCATCTCTCCCTGWCCAGGAGAAAGGGGGAGAGCCAGAGAAGCCCTGTGGTTCATCAGACTTCTGGCCTAGATGAAATAATAATAATTATTATAATCTTTACCAACATTTATCGAGTGTACGTGGTGCTGTATCAACTGTTTTACACGCCTGATTTTATTCAATGTTCGTGGAAGCTCAGTAAGACAGGTTTTTGTCATCATATCCATTTCTCAGGGAAGGAACCCAAAGCCCTACGGTTCAGTCATTCAGACAGGAAACAGGGAGTCAGAGTTTGAACCCAGGTCTGCTGGCCCCAGGATCCATGCTGTGATTACCCTGCACACTGCCCCTTGGGACTCCTTCACCCTTGCCATCTCACTTTGGCCTAATCTTCTGCTCAGCCAGCACCTCTTGGTATAACACCCAAGGGCCTGGTGGTCATGAGTTTTTCTCTAAATGAACAACAGGCCTCCGGGCTATAGGTCAGTCTCCTGTGGAATTTAGCCAGTGGGAAACTGTAGTTCACCGTGGATATCTTGCTAATGTACAGGTGTAGGCCAGAGAAGGATGTGGTTAGTTCGTCAGGATCATATCACTTTGGGTGCCTCTTGAAGGACTGTTAGTCCCCCAAGAGTCGGCTTTTCCTGGCAGCCCTATCTCTGGGTACCACCTTCTTTTCTCCCCTGCAGCTAGAGCATAGAGTGTGTCTTCCCAGAGTCCCATCACCTTCTGGGAAACCCAGGTGGGGCATTTCCYTCTCCTGATGCCTTCCTTCCCTCTGCAGGCAGCTACTGGATCAGGGACAAGAGGCTGCCCCCCTGCTCGCTCAGCCAGGCCCTCACCTACTTCCTGGACATCACCACGCCCCCAACCCCTCTGCAGCTCCAAAAACTGGCCAGGCTGGCCACAGAGGAGTCTGAGAGACAGAGGCTGGAGACCCTGTGCCAGGTAAATGTCAGGGTTGGTGGGTGAGGCAGGGGAAGTTCCCAGAGTGGGTCTTTAACCTTCAAGAGGATCTCCCCAGATTCCCAAGGCGAGACTTGTCAAGGGCTAGTGGGAAGCCAGACATTGTCTGCCATCCYTGTTGTAGGACACAGTTGTGTGGAATAAACTGAATTTTTCCTCAGTGCCAGCAGGATGTAGCCAAAGTGCACTTCCTTGGGAATGAGCTAGAAAGGGGATCCACCATATCTTGCTTGTCCTTGTCCTCTCAAAACATGGCACTCAGAAGCCTGGGAGGAGGGGTGGTGTGGACGAATGGATAAGTGATGCAGTGACAGAGAGTGGAATTAGCACCTTAATGAGAGCATGCATTAACTCACCTGCAGCTTCTGGGCCCAAGTCTTTGCTAAGAGTCACCAGACATCGTTATCATCATCCTCATTGTGGCTAATCATCTTTATCCCAACCCTCCCACTACTGTACTTTCCAGCTGTGCTGTACTGACTTGACACATGCCATCTCATTTAATTCTCACAATGTCCCCACGTGGGCAGTGACACTGTCCTTGCTTCACAAAGGTTAAGTAAGGGGGATGGTTCTATAGCTTGGAAGGGTGCCTGACCAAGATTCAAACCCAGATCTAACAGGTTCCAAAGCCTTGCCCCGATTTAGATCGCAATGGAGTTGAGCTGCCCACAGCAGAGTTCTGGGCACACAGTTAGACAAACGCTACTCCAGGTCGGGAGCGCTTTCTCTGCAGGTTGGGAGTCTCAGCACCCTGGACAGCGCACGCTGCGGGATTCAACGGTGAATGCGGGGCGGGGCAGGCACCCTGAGTCCTCACCCTGCCCTTGACTCTCAGCCCTCAGAATACAACAAGTGGAAGTCCACCAACAGCCCCACGTTCCTGGAGGTGCTGGAGGAGTTCCCATCGCTGCGGGTACCGGCTGCCTTCCTGCTCTCCCAGCTCCCTCTTCTGAAACCGCGCTACTACTCCATCAGCTCCTCCCAGGACCACACACCCACAGAGGTCCACCTCACCGTGGCCGTGGTCACTTACCGCACCCAAGGTGAAGGGCGCAGCTCTCCTGCTTCTGGGGCAGCTTTTCAACATCTCGGAGTTTTGGTCTCATTAGTTAAACAGGGTGGTAACCCCGCCCCCTCCCAGAGTTGTCARTCATACTCTAGGTGTGCGGAAGAGATCACCACAGAGTAGGCGCTAAGCTCACCGCTTTGAATCACTAGGGTCAGTAGCCAGGTGAGATAGGTACTGGGCATTTCACAGGGGAGGAGAAGCTGAGCCACTGATCCAAGTCACACAGGTACTAAGTGGACAGCTGAGATTCAAACCCCGTTTGTTTAATTGCTGAATCCTGGTTTTTCATCACTGTACCGTCCTACTCTTGGGACAAGAGATCACATGGGGAGACCATCCAACACTCAAGGGGAGCCCAGTGATTCTTAGTCCCCGAAGTCAGCCTGAGCTCAGGGTGGTTCTGACTTGGTTGGTCACTCATTCATTCCACTCATTCAGGGATGGCTTATGTCACACTTCTCTGCTGGGCACCATGGTGGGTGTGGAAACGCAGCAGGCATAGCTCCTGCTCTCATGGAGTATCTAGAGAGCCAAAGAAGAGACAGGCATGGAAATAATGAGAGATTATGATTAAGTAGCCAAGAAGGAACGTGCAGGGGACCATGATGGAGCTCATGGGGAGGCCAATCCCTTGTGGTCTTGGCTCTTCCCCTGGACACACTTGGCCCCCTGCCCTGACCCCTGTCACTCAGCATTGTCTGTGGTGGCAAGCTGGGATCCGGCCACACTGGGAGCCCTCTGTCCTCTGTGAAGAATAGTCACACAGCTTCTAAGAGCTCACAGAGGCTGTGTCAGTCCGTCAGAGAGCTCCCCATGGACCAGGTCTCAGTCCTAGGGCCAGAAGGCCAGGAGGGACTACAAGGAAAGACAGTGACATCAGAACAGGCTGGATGAGCGGCTATACCTGCACCCAGGCTATACCTGCAAGGGCTACCCTCACGAGGACACACCCAGCAGTGGCCATCTCCAAGCTGATTGGGGACTGGGGGGGTCCCTGGAGAAACTCTTGGAAGAAGCAATAGAGTAAGAATCAGGGACCCAGAGCCATCCACCACCTGAGCAACCTGTCAAGCCACTTTCCCTCTCTGAGACTCGGTTTCTGAGAGGTAAAAGGGGCACCTTGCCTGCTAAGCCCTTGGCAGCCTTTCCCAGGTCTGGATGTGTAGAGGGTGGACCCCAGAACCAGAGACACACAACCCCTCATTCAGCCCTTAGAGCATCTGAGTAGGCAGGCCAGCCCAAGGRGGTGCGTCAGTGTGGGAGGAGCTGCTGACAGGGTCGCCTACGGGCTGGGCTGGAGGGGGAACGTTGGTCAGGTCTGTTCTGTCATTGCAGGTGGCCAGGGTCCACTGCACCACGGCGTCTGCAGCACATGGCTCAGCAGCCTGATGCCCCAGGACCCAGTGCCCTGCTTTGTGCGAAGGTAAACACCCTCCCATCCCTGTGGGACCACTGACCTCTGGGTGTCCTGGGATGAGAGAGAGAGATCGGGGGTTAGGTGCCCCTCTGGGCCACTTGGTCCAGTACTGAGAAAGTACTGAGACCACACTGGGCCTCCCCATTTTATCCCCTGGCTGAGTCTCTAGCAGGTGCCCAGAGTACAGTGGGGTCAGGTCTTTTCAGAAGGCTCCTGGGTGGGGAGATGATGTGCCTGGACAGGGCAAGGGAGGTGGCCGGCAGGAAGTCGACCTGGAGCTCTTCTCCTCCATCCCCAACACCACCTCCTGGCCACACACCCAGCATCCCAGCCCCTGTCCTGCACCTGCACCAGCCCAGGATGTCTGAGGATGAGGCCTCTCTTCTTCTGTCTCCCTTCAGTGCCAGCAGTTTCCAGCTGCCCGAGGACCCCTCCCATCCCTGCATCCTCATTGGGCCGGGCACAGGCATCGCGCCCTTCCGCAGTTTCTGGCAGCAGCGGCTCCATGACTCTGAGCACAAAGGTACAGCCCACGGCGAGGCCTAGCCAATGCTCATGATCCCGATTTGATCATTATTCACTGTATGCAAGTGTCAGAGTATCACACCRTGCTCCATGAATTAGACGATAATCATGTATATTTTAAAAGAAAACACACAAAAAAAAACAAAAAAGAACAATGTATTGGCTTAGGATTGGTATTGAATGTGTGATTTTTGGGGGGGGGTGGGTACCAGAGACTGAATGAATCCAGTGGCACTTAACCACTGAGCCATATCCCCAGTCCATTTTACATTTTATTTTGAGACAGGATTTCACTAAGTTGCTGAGGCTGGCTTTGAACTTGTGATCGTCCTGCCTAAGCCTCCCAAGCCACTGGGATGATAGCTGTGCATTATTGCACCCAGATGGATGTGTGATCTTGAAAACTGCCATCATTATCTTCTCTTTTTTTTTCTCTTTTGGCACTGGGTATTGAATTCAGGGGTACTCCACCACTGAGCCACATCCCCAGCCCTATTTTGTATTTTATTTAGAGACAGGGTCTCACTGAGTTGCTTAGCACCTCACCATTGCTTAGGTTGGCTTTGAATTTGTGATCCTCCTGCCTCAGGCTCCCGAGCCACTGGTATTACAGGTGCATACACTGCACCCAGCCCTTCATTATCTTCTGATTTGCATACCTCGTACTGAAAAAAAAATTTTTTTTWWAAATAAAATAGAAAGCCGGGCACAGTAGCTCACACCTGTAATCCAAGCTACTTGGGAGACTCAGGCAAGAGGATTACAAGTTTGAGGCCAGCCTCTGCAACTTAGCAAGATTCTATCTGAAAACAAAAAATAAAAAGGACTGGGGATATACTCAATGGTAAACCGCCTCAGGGTTCAATCCCCAGTACTGAAAAACAAATAAATAAAATAGGACCCTAAAGAAGTACAGCTTGAAGGTTCCTGTGTGGGGCACAGCATCAGGTGGCCACCACCTGCCTAGAAGAACTCTGCCACCASCCCACAGATGTTTCTTGGCCCCTGTCCAGAGGAAGACCTTCCTCCAGAGTTTGCCTTGGCCTGTGCATTATTTCTCAGGGAATAATGGGGGAAATCCCCACTTTTGACCTGTGATGAGCTGGACGGACTCCTGTGCCTGCACTTCAGTTGTGTGCCCAGTTATGTCCTGGGCCTCTGTTTCCTCATCTGTAAAATGGAGATTATACCAGACAGGACGCTTGAAGAGGTTTCTAGTTGGTCATTTTGAGCTGTGATCTGCCCTCTGGTGGCCGTGCTGGTAACTGCAGCCTGCTGGGTCTTGCAGGGCTCCAGAGAGGCCACATGACCCTCGTGTTTGGGTGCCGCCACCCAGAGGAGGACCACCTGTATCGGGAGGAGATGCTGGAGATGGCCCGGAAGGGGGTGCTGCATGAGGTGCACACAGCCTATTCTCGGCTGCCCGGCAAGCCCAAGGTAAGTGCGGCGGTGAGTGGACACCCTGGCCCCCTGAGCCTCCATCTCCTCAGCTGGAAAGTGGAGACACACAGCCATCAGGGTGACACTGTGGAGAGCACTGTGCCCTGTAGTCCAGGAGAAGAGACAAGCCCAGAGAGGTTTAAGATCAACTCAGGGTGACACTATGGGTTAATCCCCTGAGCCCAGCCTGCTGAAGACCCCCAGCAGCCCCCTGGGACACGTGGCTGCCCAGGGAGAATGGTCCAGCTGGTTTACACTCCAGCTGACAAGGTTAGACGGCAGCTACTGCACTGGGCCCCAGGAGCCTGGGGATTTGGACAAACTTTTGGCTCAGCAGTCATGAACTTGTTCCTGAAGACTCCTTTTGGACCCCGTTTTGGGCCCACTGGACATCTGGTGTGGAACAAAAACAGAATCCCGGTTGTCTCCTGAACCCTCTGTGTGACTGGGAAGCCTGGAAACCTGCACCCCAGCTTCAAATCAATGAACCTGGGCATGGGGAGGCTGCCCTTTCTAGAATGTAGGCAGGCAGGCCTCAGAGCCCTGGGCAGGGGGTTGACTTGATTGATGCCTCTTTGAAGTGTGATGAATTTGGAGAAAGTCTGCCCCCCCCCCCCATTCTGGCCTGGCCTGGGCTGGGTGTCAGTGTACCTTCTCATACTGAGCCACGGTCCTGCCTGGGAGGGTGCTTACTCCCCTGACATCCCTATCTCCCCTAACGGGGGACAGCAGGCTTGACCCCCAGCCTCTCTCCCAGGGGCTAGGGACTAGACCCACTGTATCCTCTGATTTCAGGTCTATGTTCAAGACATTCTGCGGCAGCAGCTGGCTGGCGAGGTCCTCCGCGTGCTGCATGAGTCCCCGGGCCACCTCTATGTCTGTGGGGATGTGCGCATGGCCCGAGATGTGGCCCACACCCTGAAGCAGCTGGTGGCCGCCAAGCTGAGCTTGAGTGAAGAGCAGGTTGAGGATTATTTCTTCCAGCTCAAGGTACGGGGAGCTGGTGTGTGTGTTCGGGGGTGTARTCAAGGGTCCAGGCTGCAAGAGCTAGACCAGGGCGACAGGATCAGGAGAATCCCAGGACACTCCTGGGCCCCGACGGAACCCTAGAGCAGTCCAGATGGGCTATTGGAAAGCCTAACTCTACCCCCTGGTGTGGTTGCCTGTCAGCTTTAAGAAGGCAGGTCCACATGTTCTGTCTTTCCATGTGTGGAATGGGAGCAGGAGGAYCTCTCTGGCTTCTCTCCAGGCCCCTTTCAGAGAGCAGCTGTGTAGCCAGAGCAGAGTAACAAACACAGGGTGGGAAACTTGTCCCCTTTGGCAGCCTCCTATGCAGGAAGCACCTGTTATTTACACCCAGGATGCCGTCTGCTTGCCCTCAGCCCCCAGTGGGAAGGACACTCCCTTTATGATGGTAAYAGCCACAGTGTTTATCAGGGGCCCACCTGGGGCCAGGTGCTTATGGAGGATTCCCATGAGGCATTTCCTTCTAAGGGCTTCATGAGGGAGGCACATTTACACCCCCATTTTACAGAGGGAGGGGGCCCGGGGTCTACAACAGTGAAGCTGAAAGCCTAGCACTCTGTCTCTGGCCCCAAAGCCTGTGCTCACCACTTCCATACTCTTCCTAAGACCCGTTCTTATGTTCATCATGTTTGAGCACCTACTATGTAACAGGGWTAGAGCAGTAAATAGAACAAGCAAAAATCCCTGCCTGGATGGAACATTCTAGAAGGGTTGATACAACAGAACATGCATAATGGATACTGCATCAGAGAGGCTGCTGAGGGAGACTTAGGGGCCTATTGTTTTAAATAAGATGTCACTGGAAGGTGACAGTTGAGAAAATACCTGAAGCAGGTGAGGAAGAAGCCTTGTGGGTAATGAGGGAGATGGCATTCTAGGCTGCTCTTCAGGGAACAGCATGCATGAAGGTCCTGGGGTGGCGTTAGCATATGTGTGTGAAGAACAGCAAGACCTCACAAATGTCTCCCAAAATGTGTTCAGAGTTGGTAGATTCCAGGGTCAGATAGTTTAGAACGTGCTCAGTTAAACAAAGGCAAACACACTGGTGTACCATCAGATGTATCATGACAGTTCAAGACTGGGGTGGRGGAGGGGAGAGAAAGTGCACCGTATTTCCCACCCAGACTTATCTCAGACTTATGCCACCTTCTGGGGCATCTTGAGAGACTAGGCAGGAAGTAGGAATGGCGTCCACCTGCAGAGCTTCAGGAGATGTTGAGACGATTCACCCCAGAGCAGGCGCTAATGGGGTTTGGGGCATGAACCAGATCCAAGCGCACTCTCCACACCAAAAGGCTCCTGCTGGCCTGTTCCGTGTCACAGAGGAGCCAGGGCTTGGTGAGTGGGGGGTGGGGGGGTGGCTGGGCCAGCAGGCCTGACCTCGTGGCCCCTGTTTCTCTTCAAGAGCCAGAAGCGCTATCATGAAGATGTCTTTGGTGCTGTGTTTCCCTACGAGGTGAAAAAGGACAGGGCCGAGGGACAGCCCAACACAGGCCTCTGACGGCCACTGGAGCAGTGAAAGCTGCTGGCATGGAATTTAAGGACGGAGTCGACTCTCAAGCTGAGGACAAGGTCCTGGGGAGTTGGAAAACAGCCATCTCTCCAAGCCCTTCTTAGTTCCACCATCCTTYTACTTGACCTACTACCAAGTAGCATCCTGGGCTGGTTGGAGCCAGCACTCTCTCTGAGCCCACCCTTCCTTGGGCAATGGAGTGCGGCGGTGGGGGGGGCCTCGCTGGCCCCTTGGAGGTTCAGTCTGTGAGCCAGGCCTAGCAAGAGGGTGAGGAAAAGGGGAAACCTTATTCTGGTTGCAGTATTGTAAGTGGCCACCAGGAGGCGCTATCACAACACTCTGTATTTAGCTGCCTTGTGTACAGTTATTTATGTCTCCGTATTTAAAAAAAACAACCCCCAACCCCACTCGAAACAGCCCCTTGGACCTTTCCTCTGTGATTCCTTAATATAATATTTATATTAAATGCATTCTATTTTAACCAACCTGTATATGTRTGTGTGTGTTTGGAGGGGGGATTGTTTTGTAAGGAAAGCAGATCTAAATCCTATGGAGAAGGACTGATGTGTCCCACACAGGGACAAAGATCCCCACCTGTGGTGGGGATGCGGGGCACAGGCAAGGGGCTGGAGCTGTATCTCACCCAGAAAGCATCTGATGAAAGGTGTGGTGAGCAGCGGGATTATGCRCAGAGTGCCAGGATTTTAGCAAAGGCCTGGACCCTCACCCTGTCTTAGAAAGGAGTTTGTTCTGTAGCCACCTGTTTGGCCACTTGTGATTTAGAACATGGGGAAAGCAGGTGAGGTTTCCTGGTTGTGGAAGACTTTGTGGAGGGTAAGGGCATGCATTACCCTTGCCCCTCCTGGGAGACTATGGTCCTTTCTTGATTTGAAGCCAGCCAGGGAGCTGCTTCTTTTGGGGCAGGGGTTGAACCCAGGGGTGCTTAACCCCTGAGCCACACCCCCAGACCTGGTGTTTGTTTTATTTTTCTTTTGAGACAGGGTCTCACTAAGTTGCAGAGGCTGACTTTGAACTTGCACTCCTCCTTCCTCAGCCTCCTGACCAGGAGAGCTTCTTAAGCCACAGAGCTGCATCTCCACCTGGTCAGAACCACAAAAAGGTCTCAGTTGGGKACAAGTGGTGGTCTAGAGAAATCTTGCTCTCAGCTTCAGTTTGGGCCTTGTTTCATGGGCTCCCTCACCTGCTCTCCCCTCCTCTCCTGCCACTTCTGGTAGCAGCTACTCTCATGGAGGTGGGGGATGGGGGAAAGGGGCTTCCCAAAGTCTAGTTGCCCAGAGTCCAGTGGCCTAGACCAAAGGCTTCTCACAAATTAATGTACACTCGAGTCTCCCAGGATTTGTTAACATGCCGACCTGATACAGTAGGTCTGGGTGGGGCCCGAGGTGCTTTTTTTTGGGGGGGGGTACCAGGTATTGAACCCAGGGCACTTAACTACTGAGCCACATCTTCATCCCTTTTTTTGTATTTTATGTAGATATACGGCCTTGCTAAGTTGCTGAGGCTGGCTTTGAATTTGAAATCCTCATGCCTCAGGCTCCTAAGCTGCTGGGATTGCAAGCATGCACCACTGCACCAGGTCAAGGTGCTGCATTTCTAATCAGCTCCCAGATCATGAGGCGCCCGCTGGTCTGAACACTCTTTGAGCCCCACCCTGGCTCCTGGGGCTGGGTTCTGACGGAGTGAGCAGAGTAAAATGGCATCAACCTGGACATCCAGCTGGGCTCCCTTCTGCTGCCCAGCGGCCGGCAGATCCCCAGACACTGAGCCATTTCCCTCTTGCACATCATGACTGGGACAGCTTTGGAATCAGCTTCTTGTCCCGCCTGCCTCCTCCTCCCACTTGGGCACAAGGTTCTGGGGGGGGGGGGGGGGGGGGGGGGGGGGGGGGGGCTCCCACAGGCTCTGTCCCAGCCCTTCTTCCATCTCAGAAGCATGGAGCTGTTTTCCAGGTTCACCCAGCTGCTGAGGTCCAGAGACCCCTGTGGAAGAATTCCATGTCCTCCTGCTTTCCCCAGCTCTCTCCTGGGGTTTGCCAGGGACTCACTGTGAGTAGGTGTGGACGTCAGGATCCCCCTTCCCAAAGGGAKCCCACGCTGTCTCTCCCACTCCCTGGGCAGGGACCTCCAGTTCCAGAGACTCCCAAGTGTCTCCAGACACATTTAATAAACCACGGTCTTCCCCACGTGTTGCCAGCAACCATTTTTATTCCTTCATTTTCCTTATTTTCCCCTGGGAAAGAGAGTTGGTGGAAGTCCAGGGACATGGAATCAGGGTAGTTTCCTGGAGGGGTGGGGGGCTGAGCTGGGTGCCAGGTGAGAAGGAAAGAGAGTAAGGGTCAGAGAAGGGGGGTGGGGCCGAGGAGGTCCCCTCACTGCAGGGAGTGCATAGCTCTGGCTGGGGACTGGAGTTGACCTGGGACAGGAATGTGCCACATTCAACACAGGCCTGSACTGGGTGCTTGGGAGGCTCCGGAGACTCCGTGTCTGCTGAGGGGGGTGAACAMAGCTTCACCAGTTCTGAACACCCTCTGCTTGCATGGTAGCATCCGGGAGGCTGGGGCTGAGACAGGGGAGTGGAGATGATGAGGAAACTCAGCACCACATCCCAGCCCTGTCCTCAGGCCAGGGAGGCCACCTATGTCTGCACGTGGGTCAGCTGGACATCACCCGCCACTTCCAGGCTATTGATGGCGGGCAGGTTCTTCATGCGGTGGAGGTATTCAAACAGGTGTTGACCGTCCACAGCCACCCTGAGGCAGTGACCTTCACACATGATCCATACCTGGACAGAGAGGCCCTGTCACTTCCATTTGGAAAATCAGCAGCCCTAAATGCAGGGCTTGAATCTCCTTCTTTCCCTCCCTCCTGCCTTGGCCAGTAACAAGCCCCACCCCTGCATTCTGGCTACACGGAAATATCTGCTCCTCAATAAATACCCATGCGCTCTCCTTCCCTGGTACTTTAGCATATGCCCTTCCTGAGCATGGAATGTTGTTCCCACCCTGCACACCCAAGCCTTCCCTGACCCACTCCCTGTCTAGCCACCTGCCTCCCTAGTCTACTCTCCAKTTGGGATGAGATGCTATCTTGGGCTATCTGTGTCCTCAGGGCTCGGGGCCTGGACTCCTGCAGCAGCCTCCTAACATTCTTTACAGCCGGAGGCCTCTCCTCGAGGCAGGCAGGGAACAAACCTCAAAACCTCATTACCCATGGCGATGGCGAGCACAGCCCCCTTGCTCTGCGCTGGGCMCTGCCCTCAGCATGCACAGATCCCGTCATTCCATTCTTACAGTCCTCTGATCTCTAGTATTATTACTCCATGTTATAGATGAGGAAACTGAGACGCAGAGCATTGTGTCACTTCCGCAAGGTCTCAGAGCTCACTAATCAAGGTTATTGTTCCTGGACTTGAAACACTCCAATGGCTTCTCATTGTATTAAAATCCAAGCCCCTTTCATGGCCCACAAAGGCCCACACCAGTCATTTTCAACCCTGATTGCAGATGTATCACCTAGGGAGTGTCTTAAAAATACAGAGGCCCAGGCTGATCGCCTCACTGGCCTGGGGTGGGGGCCCTGGCCTTGATTTGTCTTTCTAAGCTCTCTGAGTGAATCCACTGCAGAGTCAAGGTGGAGAAGGCCCACTCTGGGTGGTCAGGCCTCCAGCTAATCCGCACCTCTCTTGCCCTGGCTCTCCACCCCGCAGCCCTTGCCCTTGAGGCTCCAGATGGACCCCATTTGCCTCTGCACAAGATACAGGCAGCTCCCCGCCATTCCCGCCCCGGCTCCCTCCAGCCCATGTTCAGTCTCCCTTTCTGCAAGGACCTGTCCCTTCTCTGCAGTGACSGGTTCATGACGGTTCCTTCTTCCTCCCCGATCTACACTGTGAACTCYGTGGGGGCAGGACCCTGCCTGACAGCTTGGTGGCTGCATCCACAGCAAGTGGGCTACTTCCTACAAGGTGGCCCCCATAAAGTGGTCAGCAAGTGATGGCAGAGTGAAGATGGGAGCAAATGAACCATGCCTCATTCTTGGGTTCCGTTTGRCACAGATTGGCCGTGTGACCTGTGTCCTGCGAGTTTGTTTTGCCCATATGTGAAAAGCGGACACTGACACCTGCTATGTGTGTGTGGGGGGGGGGCAGTGATCATGGAAATAATAATAACCTGTTAACATTCGCTCTTCCTTGGGGTGCAGTCCTCATCCCTCAGGATTCAGCAACATGCTGTTCCAGGTACCCCCAGACTCCTCCACCTCTTCTCCTCTTGCCCCCTGTGAGCCCCTCCCTCTGAGCTCCAGGCCACAGCAACTTACCGAGAAGCTCATGCCTCGAGTGAAGGGCATTTTTCGGGGCAGGCTTCGCTCCTCATACCCCCAGGAGCTGTTGATCTGGGTGTTGCGGACCACAGCATTCTCATCAAAACGGGGGTTCAAGTGGAAGGCGACGTCACTCCCGGAGCGCAGGTTAATGTGGAACCTGGGGTGGGGGGGCAACTCACATGGACCCTCTCTGTCCACTGAACTCTGGGACCCAGCCCTTCCCCCACAATCGCCAACCTGTCTGGAGCCAGGGAGATGGCCAGAGTGACCGTGGGGGTCTCTCTCTATTCTGATAGCCCTGGAGGCCCTGTCTTACCTCTTAGCACTTGGCAGGACAGTGCCTGACACCATGATGGACTTGGACGGGTACAGCCCCCCTGGGATGCTGGTGAAGAAAGGCATCGGCTGTTGGGAGGGTGGGGACAAGTCAGCCAGCAGCAGCCAGAGAGCCATACCTGCCCCTGAGAATCCTGTACCAACTTCCACCGATGTGTCCCATCAGCCAAGTCTGGAACTGTGCCTGTGAGCAGGACGTCTTCCAGAAGGAGCCCTAGGACATCTGTACCTGGCTCAGTCAAGTCAAAGGAAAACTTTCCGGCATTCCCCAAGGCAGTGGGCTTAAAATGTCACAGAAGGAACTTTGGCCAACACCAAAGGGTTCTCGGGGTGGAAAAAGGAAAGTCCTAATTTGCTCACTGGAAGAGACCACTTCAGAGTTGAGGGCTCCTTTGGACAGTCTTCTGATTTATGCGGATGCTTTTAAAATCAGCTTGACAATGGACTGCCTTGAATTATGCCAGTCAGAGGACCATCCCCAGTGGCCCTGCCCTCCCTCCCTGCCCCACACAAATGAAATCTCCTGCCTTCTCTGAGAACCTACTCACATAGGTTGGGTTGGGGAACACCGTAGGTGGCATTGCAGGATTCTGTTGAAGAGAGACCAGAAAATTCAATGTGGAAACACATGTGCAAACACACACACACACTCTAGAGTACGCTCCAGTGGGAGACTGAGTTGTGAGGGCTCAGCCCTTGGATTCTGCCACATGCCTTCCATCAGCCCTCCTGAAACTTCCTGGTGTGTTCCTGGACCCATCATGGACACCTCTCTCTCAGCACCTCCACAGAAGCCCCACTCAATCCAGGCCCCCACCTGATTTGCAATGGCAGGAGGAGGACAAAGATCAAGACTGTGACCAGTAGTGACATTGCAGGGACTTGTCCTCGGGATCCAAGTCTAGGAACCTCACATCCAGGATTTGGGGGCACTATCCTTCCCTCTCTTGGTAGCAGAAGGAACCATTTCTCTGCTGGCCCCTAGCAGACCTGCTTATTTGAAGATTGTTCCAGAATCTCCACTGTCCCAAGGAGAGTTTTAGCTGGACATCTTCTGACCGGGGGGGCTCAGCCCCATCTGTCCCCATCCTCCTGGATAAACCACTTTAGGACTAGCTAAACTAGTGTTGGGACTCTAGGGAATTCTGTTAGTGCTCAAGAGGGAAGCCACGGGGCTAGGAGCTGAAAAGGAACTTTTAGACTTACAGGGAACATCTGTCCTGGGGTGCTGTGCACCGTGTGGATAACAGTTTGAGTCTGGAAGAAAGAAACCAAGTCTCAACCAGCTCCCAGCTCCCACTAGCGTGAATGCTACCACCTGCCACCAGTGGAAACACACACACACACATACACACACACACACACACACACACACACACACACACTATGAAGAGAGTTAACCTTGAGCTGTAACCAAGGTTCAGAGAGGCTGGATAGAGTTGTTTCTAAGCTCACGGGAATGTGGGGGACCAAAGGTTAGAGCTCCAGAGAAGAGACACGTCTGCCCCAGCCCCACTTTCCTCTCTGGGAATTTCCGTCTGCACAGCTGTACTTTGCAAGCAAGAGAGGGGAATGTGGGCCTCTGCAGACAAGTGGCCATTCAGGTGGTTCCCTGTTGCATGGGGCCAACCAGCCACACCCCCAGGTCCCTCCACCACACACCAGAGGCCAGGCAGGTGGTCCATGGGGCTGGCCTTAGCTGCCCACTTTCTTATGAGAGACATCAATGCCTGGCCATGCCTCCTCCCTTTAACCCACAGGAAGAAACAAAATGAAGAGGACCAGAAGAGAGAGAGGCTGACTTACCACGGGAGCCGGGTTGGGAGGCCAAAAGCCTGGAGGCTGAGAAGACAAGAAAACTCAAAATGATGGCTGGTTCAGGTGGAGGAGGCATGGCTACCTACCTCCAGGTGGGCTTCTTGTGGTCAGAAATGACTTCCCTGACACTCACCTCCCTCCTCCTCCCTTCCTAAGCCTGAGGCATCAGATTCTCACCCCCAAGTGCACAGGTCTCAGGGCTGGGGAGGAGGATGTGCCCTTGGCTRCCCCAGATGGGTCCCATACAGGCCATATTGCTTCCCTGAATCCCCAGAGGCAACCGCCCGATGCCCTATTCCACCCATCAGGTGAAAACCAGCGTTCACCGGAGGCCCCATTGTGAGCTGAGCACTGGGCTTCTCATTTTCCAGTAAAGGAGACATCTTTAGCTTCTACTTCACTGGAGGGGCCTGGAGGCTCAGAAAGGCAAAGCAGCTTGCCCAGGCTGGCCCAGGAAGCAAGTGAGAAAATCCAAAATGGCACCCAATCTGTCTGACTGGATCCACCATCCCCTATATCCTCCCCAGGCCAGGGCCAAATCTGGAGGGCTCTGCAAAAGGTTTCCAGGAGCTGGACCAGTCCTGGGATTGGTGTGATGGGAGGCAATTAATGYGACGTCCATGTCATCATGGGCCATGCGGAGCCTGGGTAGTCAGAGCGCTCTCCCCACCCCCASTGCCCTGGTAGCCAGGGGAAGGGCTGCCTTCCTGTCCCTGATCCTGCCCCTCCCAGAAGGCCACTCTGGCCCTGGCTTGCTTCCTCCTCTACTTGGCTGTGGGAACCAGAGCCCGTATTCATTTCTTGGGTCCCTGCTTTGTGCCAGACTCTGTGCAAGGTGACGGTGTCCAAATAATGGTGCCACWGTGCCAGTGCTCCAGGGGCTTGTGGGCACAGGGAGGGGGGCAGCAGAGTGACAGGGACAGACACATAAGCATGGTTATAATAGGACATGGTGACTGCATGGCACAGATATGGACAAAGTTCATGGGGACACAGAGGGGAGCATCTGGCAGCCTTCCTGACTGGAAAAACTCTCTGGAGGAGTGACATCTAAGCAGAGCATCACTGTGCGGTGAGAGGCTTGCCGGGGCGGGGGGGTGGGTGTGAGATGGGCACATGGTGGCTTCAGCTCTGGGGACAGCATGAGCAAAAGCATGGTGGCCTGAGAGGCCTCGAGGGAACACAGAGGCTGCATGCTCTTTATGAGTGGGCCGGGCTGGAAGGCAGGAAGGTTGGCGGAGGCGAATCTGGGGACATTCTGTTGTGCTCCTCTGGGGAYCTGGGGCTTCCTTCAGAAGGGCCGAGGCTTAGACCAGGAGGGGTGTGCTCATGGGAAGGGATTGCACAGTGGGGTGTGAGGAGCTGGACCACGGCTGTCACAGTGAGGAGTCACCRTGGTCTGGGTCATGGCAGAGGCTTTGGAGAGGGAGAGACAAGAGTATCAAGAAGGGGMTAGGGACCCAGGACACTGCCCAGGTCCCCAGCTCTGGGCGCCTGGTGGAAGCAGACGGGGAATCCCCTAGCGGCTATGACAGGCTGGAGCGGCCTGTGGGCCCTCTGTCCTTCCTGCTGTCTGCTCAGCCTCCCGGCCTCCATCTTTAACTCACTTTTGGTTTGCGCCCCCTGTTTTTCGATGGGAAACAGGCAGGCTGGGAGAAGTGCATGGTGGAAAAAGCCGGCTGGACTGGAGACCTCTGTTAAAACAAAAGGCACCACCGGTTGACTCGGAGCATCCATGGAGCCAAGGAAGAGAAGAAAGAGGTTGGGCAGGAGCAGCGGCCAGGCAGACACAGGACCCAGAGGCCAGCTCAGGACCAGGTGGCCCCAGGGCGAGGAAGGGGCTGCTGGGTGAGTCATGGCAGGTGGGCACTCTCCCTCCCTCTCCTTCTCTCTGTCTTTCCCCTGCCGGGGAGGGAGGGGACGTGAAGGATGAAGCTCTGAGGGAAAGGAGCTCGTGGTTATTGAGGACCTACTGTGGGTCCAGAACACCCCAACCTTCCCCTTTTTCGCATGATGTCTCCTCAGCTTTTAGATATTTTAAAACAGGGAGGGTCAAACCGACGACAAAGTGAGCCGGGGAGTCGGACCCTGACTTACACAGCGTCACCGAACCACACAACCCAGTGGCAATGAYTATGTCCATTCTACAGATGAGGAACCACCAACCCAGTGGCCGTAACTATGTCCTTTCAAGGCGGGGAGAAGTGACGTTGGTCCCCCCACAGATGGAGAGAATGGCAACAGCTGGGGATTTGAACAGTATTCTGCCTGGTTCCCAAACTTGGGCTCTTTCTGGAATCACCTGGTCTGCGAACCAAGGTGGAAACAGAGCGACAGTCAGAGGAGAGGCCGAGGGGTCTGGGAGACCAAGGCAGGAGCTTCAGACAGAGACAGCAACACAAGGATGGCAGAGTGACAGAGGAGGAGGGGAAGACAACCACCAAGATTGGTTAGTACCAGTGTGATTCTGCAACCTGTACAATCAGAAAAATGAGAAATTATACCCCAACTGATTCAAAGGTATGAATTGCCAAGATCATTGTAATGTCATGTGTAGCTAATAAAAAATAAAATTAAATTAAATTAAATTAAAAAATAAAATAAAAAATAAAATAAAATAAAAAAATAAATAAAATAAAATAAATCTCTTTTCTTAATAAGTAAAAAAAAAAAAAAAGATTGGTTAGTTCCCAACCTATGTGTCCCCAAAGCCACCTGGAGAGGAGATTGGCTGGTAACTTTGGGCCACGGAGTCTAGACACAGCCAGTCTGGGCCCCTGGCCCCAGCCCTGGGACAGGGGCCTAGGGTTCAGTCTCACCTGGAAGCTGATGTAGGACAGCTGCAAAGTGCCGGTGACAGAGATGGTGTCCACGCGATGGAAGGGCACGCGGTGTGCATACTGCACAAAGAAGTTCTTGTTCACCATCACCTGGCAAAGGAGACCGCGTTCCAGGAGAGGAGTCCCGGGCCAGGGCGGGAGCACACCCGAGCTCCTGGAGCCCCGCTTCTGGAATCAAAGGCCTGAGCCTGGTTTTCACAACCAGCCCACTTCAGAGGGGGCATGGGGGACCCTCAGGACAGCACCAGTGACAGGAACATGCGAGTCAAATGCCTCCAACCCCAAGCTCCCATTGGCTTTTTGTTCCTATAGTTTTCTGTTTATTACTGTATCTTCATTTTTCTGGTGACACTTCACCTGGGGCAGCATCTAGGTATGCATAAAAATGCTCATGGAGAGCRGGGGGAGGTGATCTAGGGTCACACACTAAGCAGGGAACCCCATGCCACACAGCACAGAAGAGGACAGTCTCACCCCACCTGGGTCCCCAAGCCCAGAGACACTGCTCTGGCTGCAAAGGTCATTTGCAGGGACTTAYAAAGCCAGGTGGCTACTGGAACCTGGATAAAGTCTAGAACAAGGTCCCCCMCACACACAAAAAAAGAGATGTTTCCAGAAGTGGAGGAACGGCTACAGCAGGGGAATGGGATCATCTTGATCTTAAAGACGTAAGAGCTCAAAAAACACCACGGTGATGCATCTAGTCCCTATTTGCACAGTAAAAGAAGCAACAGGGGCACCTGCAGGGGCAGGTGACTGCACGCATGGAGACTAGCTAGCCACAGGTGRCGATCTAGAAAGCCACAGTCCCATGGTCTGGGTAGTGGTGTCACTCTGGCCTGATCTCAATCAATGTATTTAAAGACTGTTCACCCAGCCCAGAGGGACAGGGAGAGGGCTTCCCGCTCACCTTGAACTCTGAGCTCTCCACCTGGAAGCAGAGCTCAAAGGGCTTCCCCTTCTGGAAGGGCATTTGCATCTTTCTCTCCTCGGGCCCCCAGCGTCCATTCTGCTTCGTGTTGCAAACCACATACCCTCCCTCTTCAAACCGAGGGTTGAAGTGGAGAGCAATGTTTTCGTCGCTGAAGCCAGTCTGCAAGTTCACAGCAAACCTAGGCAGAGGGAAACCAAAGAGTCTTCTGTTGCATGGTTACTGCCAACATCAGAATGGAAGAGCCTGGCACCACGGGCTTCTTTGCACAGAGCCTGCGCAGTTTACATGAATTTGTTGGCATCTTTTTCTGTTGATATTATTCATCTAATTTGGACCTAATATTTTTTCATGCAATTATTGTATGTTGCCCTTCCAGCGTGATTTTCTAAAAACATGTAAATAGGAAAATAGTTAGCTACAAGAAGCCCGGGTCTTGGAAACTAATTACAAATGGATGTCAAAGATGGTAACCATGAAGCATGTGACTTAGTGCCAAGTGAACGCTCGCAGGGCTCAGTGTTGGAAGCCAGCCCCCACCTGCCCAACTGGGAAAGAAAAGAACAAATTTGAAGATCCTTTGAAATCGGTGGCCCTACACCTACAAAGACAAAGTTGAAAAGGGAAAGTGTGGGATAAATACCAGCTCACCAGCATAAAAATGTCACCGTGCGGAGTTTTGTGAAGCCTGGTGCTCACTGCATGTTGGTGTGTGTTGGAGTGGACGTGGTGACCCTGAAGTCAAGTGAGGTTGGACTCAGACCCCTGACACTGCCCTCAGGTTGCCACACTCAGGACGAGATCCTGAGGGAGGTCATGTTCAGGAGGCCCCCAGTGCCAGTTCATCCCTCTCTTTGGGGAGGAAGCCCCTCACCCTGGACACTTTCCCCTGGGACATGAGCCATTTCAAATCAAAGAACCTTCCAGGGCAGTTGGCTCCCAAAATGGTGGCTCGATAGATGTCTTCTCTGCTTTTCTCTGTTGTATCTAGACCCTGAAACCAAGTTCAAGTCTCAAGTTCAAGATGGGGCATCTCCCTGCAGTCCAGCCTTCCCTGAGCTCTGTATGAACGCGGCTTCTGCCTGCTTCATTGGCCACTCGGTTCTYCCACACAGACTTCAGGCCAGGGGCCTGGCTTTCCCTCCTCTCTGTCCCTCACRGGGCCCAGCACTGCACCATGCCCCAGAGGCAGCCTTCTAACTTCCTGTAGAGCCCACTCAATTTCTGTTGGAAAAGGGCATGTTCTAGAACATTCTGGCACCTTCTGATGTACTCCTTCAAGCCAGGTTGCTCTGTGAACTCTATGACAGCAGGGCCCAGAACCCAGCCSGGATCCCTGTTGGCCCCGACTCTAGCAGTGCTAAGAAGAAGGAAGAACCCAAGTTACAAAATTAAAGCCATTTCTCTTTGGATGGAGAATGCGGATTTTGAAATATCTCTGGATGTATTTCTCCCTTGGCAGCCCTCCAGCTTCATTCCTGTGTTTTGAAAATTCCTGCTCTAGGGAAGGGCGAGAGCAACATTTCCCAAGGGAGAGTCACCAGAACTGGAGGGACAATGTCTTGTAGACAGGGTGGTGCAGTAGGAATTCCTTCTGGTGCGGGAGGGGGTCAGGCTGATGTGTGTGTGGGGGGGTGGGTGGGAATTCAGGGTAGATCCTGGATTGCCCTATTGGGGGGCTTCGAGTAAATCTCCTGCAGGATTTCCCAGGGCTCCTAGACAAGTTCCATGTCCACGGTGGCCATGTCCACCCTAGTTATGGGGGATGGCAGTCGTGGAGGAAGTSAATCAAATTCAGATTGCCAATCCAAGGCATCAGAGGGTGTGAAGAGGATCCACAAGGTCCTAGTGCCCCATGTAAGGTGATGACAGGGCCTCTGGGATTGAGACAGACAGCTGAGCCCCGAGGGGGCTTGCCCAGGCACTGTGGACAGTGGCAGACAGCAGCTGTGTAGATCCCAACCAAACCTGTAAAACCACACACCTCAGTGCCACCCGGACAGTGTTGCTCAGCAGAGGTCAGCCAAGGCTGCACGGGGGTCAGAGACCCCCCTCCAGCCTGAGAGGACATGKGAGCTCTTCCCTGTTTGCAGACAGCCCCCGCTTCACTGAGGAGGGTGGGAAACAGCACTGATCAGCACCTTGGCTGGCTTAGTATTTTCCAGAAAATGCTTTGAAAACCAAAGAGACAAAATGACTTTTGAATAGGTCCACACATCTGCCAAAGAAGGGCTCCAAAGTAGACAGAGCCAGCAGGGGACCGAGGGAGTTCTGTTTTTGCAACTCTGGGCCCCTTTCCTCCTTGCTGAGTTCTCTGGGGACAGGGAGCCCTGCAGTCGATACCCGTGCTCAGTGGCRCTGGGAAGCATGGGCAGGGCCCAGCCCTTCACGCTCAGCACCCTGTGGCTGCTAAGGGAAGAGGCTGGAGACAAGAGCAGCACCATCTGTATACCTGTTTTCAAAGGAGTGAAGAACGGTCCCCTGGATAGTGATCTGGAGTCCCTCCTGGAGACCTCCAAGGATTGTCCCAGAAAAGGGGACCATCTGCAGGGAGAAGACACGGGATGTCAGTTGGTGGGCACTCGCCTGGGTGTGAGAGCACAGTGCTAGGGCCTGGGCATGTGGCTGTGAATGGGACAGGTGGGGTCCCAGCCTCACAGATCTTAGGGTCCTGTGCAGAAGCAGATGCGACTCGGTTGGTTGCAGACATTCTGAGCCCTAAAAAGAGGAGACCACCTGAGTCTGAGGGGACATGATGGGCAGCCGACCTTGGCAGTCTGAGAGGAAGCGACTACCCAGGAATCCGCCAGGAGGAGGGCCTTCCAGATGCAGAAGCGGCCGAGGGAAGCTTACTGAGCTCTCTTTGACACAGTGTCCTCCTCAGTGACGTAGAGATAACCCCTGCCCTTGCTAAGGCAGCTTGGTGGATGACTGTGGAGAACATGGCGCATAGTAGGTGCCTCTCTGCTACCCTCCTCCTCTCCCTGCCTTGCTCTCTCTGAGCACAACCCCCACCCTGGTGACTTCCCAACTTTCCAAGCACACTTCTGGATGCCTGTTGTCCACCSGCATTAGTGCACAGTTCTGTGTCCTGGGTGGTTTTCCTTCTCTCTTCTCTACACCTCCTTTAGGTCAATTTCCTGAAAGAATTCAGTGTTTCCCAGAGCAGGGGCAGTGATGTGCATGAGCCAGATGGCCAGGTAGGACCAGTAGGGAGCAGTGGAGACTGAGGCATGGGGACTTCACACCCTCACCAGCTCTAACCCATGAATTCCACCCAGGCTCAGTGTTAACAGTTCCCAAATTAAAGAGTAACCCAGAAAGTTAGATTTATTATTATCTTTTGAGTAAACATTTTCATTTCTGGGGAAAAAAATATTCTCCAAAAAGGGTGCATCCGATCCTATATGGTGGAGATACAGGATGAAGTATTCGCAATGCAATGCTGTAGCTGAATTGGCTCCAGAGGAGTCCAAGGGTGGAAAGGGAAGTGGGCCAAGGTTGGGAGGAGGTGAGGCAGGGCCAAAGTCCATCAGCCCTGGGGCTGGGCAAGGGCGGGGTTCTCTGTGACCTGTTTTCTCTGGGGATTTCAAAAGCACCACTGCCAAGACCAGCCCACGGCTACTTCTCGCCTGTGTCCTGAAGGCATATGACACTGTGGCACCTACAGAAGCCCATCCACACTCAGGGGCACCGCAGGGCCTGGACCTCAGGCAGAAGCTGCKGTCGGTAGACCTCTCAGGGAAGTGTCTCTTGTTGCCACTCAGGATGGGTCTGAACTCACATTAAATCCTTTAGTGACTTTGAGAAATTCACACTTCTCTTGGCCTCCGAGTTCACCCMTGCCCATGTCCATGGTCTGGGGGAAGTAGAGTCACCCTGATAGAGTTATGGACCAGCGTGGCATAAACTGACTTGAAGGGCATTGAGTTCAGAGTATTGGAAACCCCTCCCCTGTTTGTTGAAGCCCAACATTCTCATCAGAGCCTTTTAAGCTATCAAAAGAGATAACGCTTTATTTTTTTTATTTTTATTTTTATTTTTTTAAGAGAGAGTGAGAGAGGAGAGAGAGAGAATTTTTTTAATATTTATTTTTTAGTTCTCGGCGGACACAACATCTTTTGTTGGTATGTGGTGCTGAGGATCGAACCTGGGCTGCACGCATGCCAGGCAGCGCACTACCRCTTGAGCCACCTCCCCAGTCCAGAGATAACGCTTTAAACACGCCAAAGCTGGGAAGCCTGCACCCTTCACAGAAGTTTATTCACACTGAGGCACAAGAACAGAAAGCTATCAGGTGTGGTGGTGCAAGCCTGTAATCCCAGTGGCCCAGGAGGCTGAGGTGGGAGGATCTCAAGTTGGAGGCCAGCCTCAGCAACTTAGGGAGATCCTGTGTCCAAAGAGAGCTCAGTGGTAGAGTATTTTCCTAGCATGTGAGGCCCTGGATTAAATTCCCAGTACTAGGAAGGAAAGAAAAGAAAAAAGAAAAAGGAACAGAAAGCAAGGTATGATGGCYCTGAAGTGCTCAGATCTTACAGAAACTCTGGAAGGAGGAAGAAGGGTACAGGTGATGGGGCAGGACAGAGAACCTTCATCTCTCAGGCAACAGTGTCTTWAAAAAAAAAAAAGTTTTCTGAGATTTCAAAATGTCTTAAATGATTGTCCCCAAATTCTGAAAAATAAGATTGTTCTGGGTGTCGCTAATTACAAGCAAAGTTCGTCATTTCCTCATTATAACAGCAAAGGATGGGAGACAGCCTAAAAATGCAAGGGGAAAAAGAGGTGAAATGAATGATACTGTTTCCAAATGAGGGATTCAATGTGTCCTTAGAGAGAAAAGGGAGGGAAGTCTCAACACGGATACACAATGACGCCACTTGTGTAAAAAGTGGGTGGGGGCACTGTGTGCATGTGTAGGCTTATTACAGATAAAGTATCTCTAAAACAATTCAGGAGGACCTGATAACGCTGGTGGACTGCAAGATATTGCGTACTGAGGAAGATATGGAGGGCAGAATGACCCCTYGCCTCCACCTTTGGAAAAGTCCAGAGTCCCTGGAACCCGTGATGATGTTACCTGAAGTGGCAAAAGGAACTCTGCAGGTGTGATTAAGTTAAGGATCTTAAGATGGGGAAAGTATTCTGGACAGAGTGTMCYTAAGTTGCAGAGTCTGGCTTCAAACTTGAGATCCTCCTGCCTCAGCTTCCCAAATCACCGGGATTATGGCTTATTTAATGTAATTGAATTTTTATTTTTTTGTGGTGCTGGGGATTGAACCCAGAGCCTTGCACATGTTAAGCAAGCATTCTACCACTGAACCCTATGCCTCCGGCTCCAAAACTGCAGGCTTTACAGATGGAAGCAGGAGCCGTGAGCAAGCCACAGCATGCAAGCTGTCAGAAAACAGATGCTGTGAGGCCTCGCCAGGTGAGGCTCCTATGGAATTTGGGCCTGTATGTGAGGGAGAGCTCTGAGCAGGACCCACTTTTGATCCTGCTGAAGGGAGGATAGCATCTTGCACTGGGTTTATGGCCTCTGGCCTTGGCTCCTTCCCTAGCTCCCTGTGCCAGAAGTTGTGATATTGAGCAAGTCACTCTGTCTGTCTGGGCCCCAGTCCCTCCTCAGACTATAATACAGTGCTAATAATGTAGCCTGYCAGTGTTGGGGAGAGGGTGGCATGCGATGCCATGAGGAAAGCCACTGTCTCGGGCTCAGCCTTGGTCATACAGCTGTTTGCATCAGGACAAATCCCTCCACTGGCTCAGATCTTGCTCTGAGCTCCTGCTTGTACCTGGAGGCTGAGATTTTTCCCTCCTCTGTCTGGAGGTCCAGAAAGCAGGGCTGGGCCCAAGAGACCAAAGTATGGACAGCCTCCTGCCGCCGGCCGGCCCAGCGTCACCAGAGGGCACCCCATCCTGCAACCAGCGGTATGGCTACCACTACACTCAGCAAAAAGAGGCAGTATGTGACTTTCAGCCCAGGGCCCTGAGACCTCAGAAGCTCTCGGGTCCTGCTGGTAGCTGGCCTTTCAAGCCTGTGTTGTCCCCTTGTTAATGCCACTTTTAAGGATGAGGAAACCGAGGCACAGAAAGCTTCAGTAACTTGCCCAAAGCCGCACAGCTGGTCAATGTCAGAGCTGGGATTTGAACCCCAGAACTCATGCTTCCCCACACAAGCTGCTGATGATAAAGCACAGGACACCCTTATTGCCGGCCTCACAGCCGAGCCTGTCCTRTCCATGGCTCTGGCTTCCTTCCTGGCCCTGGAGAAAGCTGCCTAGAAGCAGCAGGGCCTCACACTGGGAGCCTTTCCTAGCACCACAGTGGTCACTCGGCTCCTTCAGGAGTCAGCGTTTGGAGGAAATGTGGCTCAGACTACCAGAGGTMAGCGGCCACCACGTGAGTGGGGAGTGCACACATCCGCTTTCTTGTCTGGACGTGCACAGCCCAAGTCCTCTTTGAACTCTCCCTTGCCTGCAGGAGGATTTTCTTTCTCATTTGATAGAAAACCAGGAAGTTTAGCTTCTACATCCACAGAAAATCTCAAAATCAGAATCACAAAATGTCAGCACTTATGTCATTTCCAGTCTGATGGGGAATCAGCGAGAGGGTATGAGATGCTGTGGGGACCCGTTGTGACCCCGCAGACCCCCCCCCAGAGGTGCTGTTTAGCCCCTCCATGCACGCCCCACCCCAGGAGCCCCACAGGGTGGCTGAGGGGTGATGGCAACTGCTGGGGAGTTCAGGCCAGGCCTCAGGCCTCTGCTGCGGCAGGGTCAAGTGTGAGGCCCAGGCCACCAGGCTACCCCTGGCACCTGTTCAACCCCCTCAACCCTGACACCCAGGACACAACGACCATAGGCGCTCCTGCTTCCCCAACATTGGTCTCCCCCTCCTCTGAGGGCAAACCAAGCGCTGCTTTCTCTGCCACTTTGCATCTGGAGACATTTAGCAAGTGCCTCAACCTCTTGGAGCCTCAGTTTTTCCACATGTGAAGTGGGGATAATCAGCCTTACAAGGMTCCCCACGGACAGGGGAAAGGTGTGGGAGGCAGCCCCTTGTCGCCCACAAGGACAGTCCCCACTCTGCCTCACCTCCAGGGCTGCCCTCTGCAGACATCCTGGACATGCCCTTACCTTGTGACCTCTGACTCAGTCCTCAGAGCACAGACCCCTGGATGCCCCCTGACTCCTAATAACATGGAACACTCCTAAAGCACCTACAGTGTGCCAGGAAGTGCTCAAATATGCTCCCTCCCTCAGTGCTTACCCAGCCTTAGGATGGGGGCTGGGGGGTGCTTCCCACTTCACAGATGGAGAAACTGAGGCCCAGAGATCACTCAGCTAGTGAGCGACCCATCCGGACAGGCCCTCTCCAGAGTCAGTGCTTTAACTACTGCGTGTGAGGGTGGCTACTCTCCCAGAAGCCTGCTGGCATCCCCATTCCCCAAACCATCACCCTTCTAGAAGCTACTAGGCCTGTCTAGCTCAAGCACCTCAGATGGAGCAGGCACCCAGCAGGAGCTCAGAGTGTCTGTCTGTCAAATGCATGGACCACAGTGATTGTCACCCGCTGGTCCCAAGAGGCACAAACGAGACTGGCATGGAATAGGGGCTCTATTGGGAGGCCCCCACCTGGCATTTCTGCCCCTCYCCCCCACTGACCCACTCACCACCCCACTGTTTCCCAGGCTGTGGCAGCCAGCCCAGCTGGGGACAGCCCTGTGACAGTCCCCAGTCAGTACTCACCGGGCTGAGGTAGGGAGGCTGGACGCCACAGAAAGCCATTTCTCCACCACCTTGGTGGCCACTGCTGCCTTTCACGGAGGCTGGGCTGTCCTCTGCTCAGGCAGGACGTTACAAGGAAATAGAAACTAAAGCAATCTGGCAGTTCTTCAACAGGGCGGAGCCACAGGGAGCGGGTCTGCAGAAGGAAGGTAGGCGAGTGGGGGGAGTCTGGGGTGGTGTGACAGGGCTGGGGCCTTCTGACAACTGAGGAAGCACAGAGACACCCCCCACCCCTTCAAATCCTGATTCTTGGAATCATTCCAGAAAGACATCAGAGATATCACTCAGAGTAACAGGCACGAGTTTACTAGAAGGGAGAGGAAAGGGAGAAAGGGCACA